CTTCAGCACCCCCAGCCCAGTCTGTCCACTCACCTCCAAACTCTCCCTCTCCGATCTGTGCTCCCAACGTCAAATGCTGCAGGTTCAGCAACCAGCCCGCTGTGGAGTGAAGACCCAGTCAGGGCGGTACTAGGCCCCCCAAACCCTCCCACTGGGGGTTCTACTTGGTGAGACTAGGTGATGTCTCACAGTGCTGCAGCTGTGGAGACACATGTGACTGGCTGCTGGGCCTGGCAATGCCCCTGGGACATGTCAGAGACACCCCACTCCTGGTACCAATTATTGTTGTTGGAAGCAACAGATATCTCAGGCTGACCTGAGCAAAAAGGAGCTTGTAGGAGGGACAGTGGGGTGAATGGTCAAAGCTGGGGGCCTGGCTGAAGACCCTCAGACTCCACACTTGCCCTCCAGGAACTCCCTGTCAGGCCCAGGGGGCAGTGCCAGGAAACGTTTCACGTCTCAGAGATAAGAGCTGCCCTTTTCTCTTTGGCTACCTGGAGACCTCTTGTCCCTCCAAATGCCCTCTGGGCTCTTCCCTACATAGTCCTTTACCTCTGACCACCGAAACACACACAGGGCAAAAGAATAAATAAAATTAAAACCCATAAAGGTTCCAGAATATTCCAGGGGTCTGGCCTCCCTGACCCTTCTCCCAAGCACTCCTGTGTTGGCCCCTCCACTGTCCTCTGGTTGGTTCTGCAGGCTTCCCCCTCCCTCCAGAAAGCGCCCCCTCCAAATGCGGAACTCCTAAGGGATCATTGGTCAGGGTGATGCTAGTCTCCACCTGGGTGCCATCCCCGATGGGTACAGACTTCCCCAGGAGAGATGTACTTCAAAGAGACAGACATGGGGTGGGAAGAGGCATTTGCTTTTGAGCTTAAATATTGAGGATTTCACTACTCAGGGGCTGGAAAAGCACTTCAGGCGAAGTGAATGGAATCAACAATGGCTCAGAGGCATGAAGGAAACGATGATCACAGTTGACTTGGGCGGGGTGGATGCGTGGAGGAAGGGCTTTGCAGATGAGGCTGGAAGGGTGGCTCGGGCCATGGGGGCAGGTTCTGGAACGTAGTAGAGCTGCGGGCCTCTCTCCCCAGAGGCAGGATCTCATGATAGAAAGATAACCTTGGGGCTGCACTCAGGGCCTGGCCTGGAAGGGGCACTTGCCCCCTGGGAAGGAGGTCCTGTGATGAGAGGGACTGAGGCTGGGCTGTGGGGAGGGGAGGGGAGCAGATGCACCAGGTGTTAGGAACCAGGCCAAAGAGGGAATGCTGGGGCGGGGAGGTGGGTGGGTGGGGCTTCGGGGCCAGGTTTCTGGCTCAGATGATATGGCGGATGATGGTGACAGAGATGAGCAGCAGAAGGTGGGGCCCAGTGAGTAAAGGACTGATCGGCGTCTGTGGACCCCAAGGCAGCCCAGGTCTTCTATCCCATAGCTGTGCATGGGGACAGGCTTGGGTGATCTGGCCTTAGAGGCCCAGGGCCCCAGGGTCCTTCCTCCTGGGCTGCGCTAATGTGGGCAGGGGAGGAGGTGGGCCCTCTCGAGCGTCCCCTACCCCTGGCCAGCTCCTCCTCTGCCGACTTGGTCCCGTGCTTCCGCTTTGGCCTCACCAGCTTGGTGCAGATAGCGCCCTTGTCCTTGGTGTAATGCTGCAGGATACGGGGGTGGTGGTGAGCCCCGCCCCAGGACAGGGAACCCCGGCATCTCGTCCCTTTCTCTGCTGGGCTCTGGGTGGGGTGGGCGGGACCAGGGAGGAGAAGAGAGGCTGGTTTCCATTGGAATGGGAGAAGGGGCAGGCCAAAAGGAGCGGAGGTCCTCTGGATTGCTGTCAATTTGGGGGGTCCTGGGGGTCCCCAAAGATGTCATCCCAGTCCCTGGGGGCAGACTCAGGTCTGGGGGGCCCAGGGAATACCCCCTTCATCTCCATATTGGAGAAGCACAGAGCTCAGGGGATCCCAGGTGGTCAGCACAGGAGGTAGGGATGGTGTCTGCCCAGCTGCTGGGGAGGGGATGGGGCTGTGGAGGTCAGGTGACCAGCCCCTCCATCTCTGCACAGGAGAGTCTCGGGGGTCCCCGGGATGGGGTGGGGCCTCCGGGCGGCAGCACCTCCACCATGTCCATGAGGTTGCAGAAGAACACGGCCTCGTCGATGGTGAGGTGCCCGTCGCGGTGCAGCACGCGGTAGTGGATGACGTCGCGGCCAAAGCTCACGCACAGGACATAGTCGCCGGGGTGGCGCACGGACTCTCGCACCAGGAACAGCCCGTCCTCGGGCGGCTGCAGCTGCTGGACTGCCTCCTGGCCGGAGATCTTCCCGTGGAACCACCTGTGGCCACAGAAGGGGTGGGTCAGGCCAGGCCGTGGACCGGGCAGGGGGTCACCTCCTGCCCCCCCACCCCAGGCCCCCCGTCCCACCCACTCACGGCATGAGGCTGAGCTTGGGGTCCGCGGAGAGGGCCTCCCGCTCCCGCAGCGCCCCGGCCGCCAGCAGCCCCTCTTGCCCGCTGGTGTGGTGCTTGGCGCGGTACCAGCTCTTGTTCTGCCAGGGAGGAAGCACAGGGTTGGTGTGGCGGGTGGGGTGGGGGTCCTGGGGGAGCCCCCATCCCCAAGCACCCATGCCCACCACCTGCCGCTCACCTCGCAGGCCTCCAGGATGGTGACCACGTCTCCCTTGCGGAAGGCCAGCTCCCCCGGCTTGGGGCGGGTGTGCTCGCATTTAGTGATACACTGGGTGCCCGGGGTCCAGCGCCTCTGCAGAGGGGGCCGGGGGGGAGGGGGGACATCACAGAGATGTGGGGAGCAGAGGCACAGGAGGCGAGAGAGGACAGGAGGGGGAAAGGCATGGAGACTGGGAAAGAGCAGAGAGGCAGAGAAAACAGGCAGACACCGGGGAAGGAGGGAGCCGGGGAGAGCGGGGCTCACAGAAAGAAATCGTAGAGTCACAAACAGAGGCGGGGCGCGGTGGCTCACACCTGTAATCCCAGCACTTTGGGAGGCCGAGATGGGTGGATCGCCTGAGGTCAGGAGTTTGAGACAAGCCTGGCCAACATGGAGATACCCTGTCTCTACTAAAAATACAAAAAAATTAGCTGGGAGTTCTGGCGGTCACTTGTAATCCCAGCTACTTGGGAGGCTGAGGCAAGGGAACTGCTTACACCCAGGAATTGGAGGTTGCAGTGAGCTGAGATTGCGCCATTGCACTCCAGCCTGGGTGACAGAGTGGGACTGTGTCTCAAAAAAAAAAAAAAAAAGGGTCACAAACAGGGGAGGCCGGGGACAGAAGGTCAGGATGCCGAAGTGACTGAGAAAGACCAGGCAGAGTCCGGCAAGGGGAATGGGGGCAGAGAGGACAGCCCCCCAGAGGAACCGGCTGGACACACTCACCGCTGGCATCCTGGCTGAGACGGGAGGGGGATGCCAGGCTCGGAGGAAGCAGGGGCTCACCTGGGGAAAGGGCAGAGTCCAGATGGGAGGGAGCTGGACTGGGACCCAGGGTCCAGTTCCTACCACTTCCTCCCCAGGCCAGGTGGGGATGACGGCGGGGAGGGCGGGGCGGGGGGGGGGCAGAGAGAGCCCCCACAGAGGCATCCCGGGTGGGACCCAGAGCTGGCTCCCCAGCCCCTTCTGGGAGGTGATCTTTACCCGGGCAAGTTCCTTAGCAGAATCACAGCCATGAAATGCCTGCCAGGAAACCAGGGAGCCTTGCCCCGCCATCGCCCCCAGAGGTAAACTGAGCCAGGGGAGAGGCGCACTGAGCAAGTGGCCACAGTTGGGGGCGCTGGGAATGGCCTGCCACAGGCTGGGTGGCTGGCACAGGAGGCAGAGAGCTGGATGCCACTGGATCAGCCTAGTTCTTCCTCTTTTCTGGGAAGTAGGCAGAGGCAGGGTGGGGAGATAGGGATGAGTCAAGGTCATTCCCAAGAATCTCTGACCCTGGGGTGGAGGTGGGGCCAGGGGCGGGTCCTGCAGCCCTACTGGGCTCCTCTGGCCACCGGCTGAGCCTCTCTGATCGCCCCCCAACAAACCCAGGACAGACACACAACGTCGGTCATTGCTGTAGGAGTGGGGGACCCTCCCTGCCTCCCTCAACTCCCCAACTGCTGGTCGATGGGAAGTGGAGGGTGTTGGGGGGGTGAGTCTCAGCCCCTCCAATATGCGCCTCCCCTGAAGTCCTCCAGTCCCACGTGTACTCACACGCATACAGATGCATGTACACGCACAGAAACGCACGGGGCTCGGACGCAGGTGCGCGCAGATAAGCAAAGGACCCCGTCCACCTGGAAACAGGTGTGTGCACACGTCCCCGCGCGCCCAGGCGCTCCACACCCGGGAACGTGCGCACCTGTCCTCAGCCCCCGGCACACACACAGCCACCCCACACTGCAACACCTGGGCGCCAGCGCCGGGCGACCCAGGCACGCAGAGCGCCACGCAGGGCCGCGCACACGCATCTCGGCCACACACGCGCACAGCCCTCCACGTGGACGCGCGGGTACACACGCCCGGGGCTCGCAGCCGCGCACACCCGCACCCGGGAACCCCCCCACCGCCACACCGGTCCGATCGCCGCGCACCCGCCGCGCGCCCGGGACGCGCACACTCGCGCGCACACCGGCCCTTCCTGCGCACGTCCCGGGCCCACCCCCGCCCCGAGCCCTCGGGGTTTCCCCCACGGCCTCAGAGTGTCCCCACCTCTCCCCGCGGACACGCTCACCTGCTCAGGGTGCGCTCCCGGGCCGCGCCCCGCGTCCGCCCCCAGGAGGGCCTCCGCGAGCCGGCTGCGCACCCCGAGGCGGTCCCGTCTGCACAACTTGGAGCGAGTTGCTCCGTTTCCTCATTTTGGGGGCGAAGGAGGGTCGGGAGTGGGGGTAAGCGGGAAGCGCCGCGGCCTGGGAGGCCCCCACGGGTCCTAGCGCCGGCCGCACTGCGGTCTGCTCCACGCGCCGCGCGCCGCGGCCTCCGCCGCCGCCGCCGGCCCCTCCCCGCCCCGCCCCCGCGGTCCCGGGAGCCTCTCGAGCGCCCCGGGCGGGGTCCCGGGGCGCACGCGGGCTCCATGCCTGGCGCTAACCTGGATCTTTCTGGCGTGCGCCCCCCACCCACCCTGGGAAGCGGGGCTCTTGGGAGCAGGGGCTGGGGGCTGAGGGAGAGTGAGCTGCCCGTCGGGGGAGGTAAGCAAGGCGCCCAGCCCGGACACCCAGAGGGCCCTTATCACTCTGCAATTTCACCTCCGTCCGTGCTGCCTATTTTAGCACCCAGCGCCTCAGAGAGCTCTTTGTGGTTGACCAAAAAAGAGCCCCCCAAAATGTCAGCCACTCTGGAATCATTGTCATCATCATCAACATTAAGGGAAAACTGGGTAACAGAAAGCATCCTCCGGAGCTGCAGCCATCCGGATGCAAACTTCTCAAACCAGCCCTCCTTGGAGGGCAAAAGAGGGCTCTGGGAGTTGGGGGGTCCTGGCTCTGCCCAGAGGCAGGAGCTACCCATTTTCCAGCCGGGATTGCCTCCTCCATAGGGAGGGCGGGGGCCCCATCCGCTTCTGCCTCATAGAAGTGTTTGAGCTCACGTGGTCTTGGTGGACAGGGCCCTGCCCCTAGGGATGGCTTCGTGGTTCCGGTGACCAAACCACCCGATCCACTTTCACCCAATGGAGGTCCTTATCTTTTTAAAAATTTTTTTGACACAGGGACTCCCTCTGTCCCTGTCCCTCAGGCTGGAGTGCAGTGGCATGATCATAGCTAATTACAGCCTTGACCACCTGGGCTCAAGCCCACCTCCTGCCTCAGCCTCGGGAGTACCTGGGACTATAGGGTAATTTTTTTTCTTCCAACTTTTCGTAGACATGAAGTTTCACTTTGTTGCCCAGGCTGGTTTTGGACTCCTGAGATCAAGCGATCCTCCCACCTCGGCCTCCCAAAGGCTGGGATGACAGGCGTGAGTCACCCCACCTGGCACCTTATCTCCTTTCTAAGGGATGAGTCCTCTGAAACAAAGATCAAGCTCATCTCAGGAGGGCAATGAACCAAGACACCCAGGTGGCCTGCGCCCATCTTTAACCTTCCGTTACCCCAAAAGGGTAAGTGTCTGGACTTGGGGGCGTCGCATGATTTTGGGGGAGCAGAGGCCCAGATACAAGAGAATTACAGAAGAGCTGTGTTAAGGGACCTCCGCAGCAGACCAGGCAACTACATTGTTATTATTAGAGATGAGGTCTCTCTGGGTCGCCCAGCCTGGCCTCAAACTCCTGGGCTCAAGCGATCCTCCTGCTAAGCCCCCCTTTGCTGGGACTACAGGTGCACACCACAGCGCCTGGCCAAACCACACGATTACATGTTACGTTATATTACATTATATGCATTTTATTATATATTTTACGCCGGACCATCCAGGATGCCCTCTCATCTCAACAGCAACGATTTAATCCCACCTACAGGCTGGGCCCAGTGGCTCACGCCTGTAATCCCAGCACTTTGGGAAGCCGAGGCAGGCGGATCACCTGAGGTCAGGAGCTCGAGACCAGCCTGGCCAACATGTTGAAACCCTGTCTCTACTGAAAATACAAAAATGAGTCGGGCGCAGTGGCAGGTGCCTGTAATTTCAGCTACTCTGGAGGCTGAGGCAGGAGAATTGTTTGAATCTGGGTGGCGGAGGTTGCAGTGAGCCGAGATCACACCTTTGTACTCCAGCCTGGGAGACAGAGAGAGACTCTGTTTAAAAAAAAAAGGGGTCGGGGGGAGAGAGAGAAAATCTCCAGTTGTCAGAAACAACCTCACCACCGCCAGCATGCTGCTGTTCAGTAGAGTCACCACAAGCAAATCCAAGGGGAAACTTCTAGAAGGAGACTCGCCTGCTGACAGCAGGGTTACCGCAGGGATACAAGGGCAGGTGAGGCCGGGAGGGGACAGCTTTGCTTTTTGTTTCATTTTTTAAAAATAGATATGGGGTCTGGCCACGTTGCCCAGGCTGGTCTCAAACTCCTGCACTCAAACGTTCCTCCTACCTCGGCCTCCCAAAGTGCTGGGATTACAGATGTGAGCCACTGCACCATCTCAGCTCACTGCGACCTCTGCCTCCCAGTTTCAAGCAATTCTCCTGTCTCAGCCTCCTGAGTAGCTGGGATTACAGGTGCACAGCATCGCACAGAGCTAATATCTGTACTTTTAGTAGGAAACGGGGTTTCACCATATTGTTCGGGCTGGTCTCAAACCCCTGACCTCAGATGATACACCCACCTTGGCCGCCCAAAGTGCTGGGATTATAGGCGTGAGCAACCGTGCCTGGTCTACGGGCCTCTTCTTTTCATGGAGTTGTAATTTAGTATTTGAAGATCTTTAGGGGGGCTGGGTACAGTGGTCCATGCCTGTAATCCCGGCACTTTGGGAGGCCGAGGTGGGAAGATCACCTGAGGTCCGGAGTTTGAGACCAGCCTGACCAACATGGAGAAACCCAGCCGCTACTAAAAATAGGAAAATTAGCCGGGCGTGGTGGCGGGTGCCTGCAATCCCAGCTATCCAGGAGGCTGAGGCAGGAGAATCGCTTCAACCCAGGAGGCGGAGGTTGCGGTGAGCCGAGATCGCGCCATTGCACTCCAGCCTGGGCAACAAGAGCGAGACTCCATCTCAAAAAAAAAAGAAAAAAAAAAAGTTTGAGGAGGATGCCCTGTGTCTACGATTTTAGCACCCATAGCTTTATGGATCTGGCTGTGGGATAGTCTAGGGTGTGGCTCCCCAGAAGGGGCTGGGGACCCTGCAGCTGTCCATCTGTCGCGGTCACCGTGGGCCCACCATATATGACAAACGACCGTCACTTGCCTCAACTAGAAGCGTTACGTCAAAGTATCTGCAGCGGAAAACCCAGCGCCTAATTCGTTTCTCACCAGAAACTGCTGCTGACCACAGGTCCCTCGCCGAGGTCCGCCTTCTCTTCGTTCAGCGGGGAAGTGTCCCGGCATGAGAAGGACGTCTGAGAAACTCTAGCACCCACGGAGACTTTCTCCTCTTCCTCTCTGCAAATGAATGGTATTTAGTGTCAGTCCTCCCAAGCAGCCCCAGCGCTCCTGGTGGGAGGCCTCAGCCCAGAAGAAATAATAAGAGCCGGGTGCGGTGGCTCACGCCTGTAATGCCAGCACTTTGGGAGGCTGAGGCGGGTGGATCACGAGGTCAAGAGATCGAGACCATCCTGGTCAACATGGTGAAACCCCGTCTCTACTAAAGATACAAAAAATTAGCTGGGCCTGGTGGCGCGTGCCTGGAATCCCAGCTACTCAGGAGGCTGAGGCGGGAGAATTGCCTGAACCCAGGACGTGGAGGTTGCGGTGAGCCGAGATCCCGCCATTGCACTCCAGCCTGGGTAACAAGAGCGAAACTCTGTCTCAAAAAAATAAAATAAAATAAAAAATAATAAGAGGAGGGTGGACTTTAGGAGCTGGTGTCGGGTTCCCAAATCGCCAAGGGCTGGTCTGGGGTGCAGGGAGCTCCCCCGCACTGAGTGGAGACATAGACACTGAGCTGTGCCTGACTCTAGGGGGATCGATTTGAGCCTGGGGTTTATTTGAATCCTCAGAGCCACAGAAGGGGTGGCCTCAGGAGGGAGTGAGCCCCCTGTCCTGGAAGGCATCCAAGAGTTGGCCACTTTGCTTTTTTTTTTTTTGAGACAGAGTCTTGCTCTGTCACCCAGGTCGGAGTGCAGTGGCACAATCTCAGCTCACTGCAACCTCCACCTCCTAGGTTCAAGCGATTCTCCTGCCTCAGCCTCCGAAGTGGCTGGAATTACAGGCACGCGCCACCACGCCCAGCTAACCTTTGGTTTATTGATTTATTTATTTTCTTTGAGATGGAGTTTCACGCCCGTCATTGCAGGCTGGAGTGCAGGGGCGCGATCTCAGCTCACTGCAACCTCCACCTCCCAGGTTCAAGTGATTCTCCTGCCTCAGCCTCCTGAGTAGCTGGGATTACAGGTGCCCACCAACACGCCCAGCTAATTTTTGTATTTTTAGTAGAGACAGGGTTTTGCCATGTTGGCCAGGCTGGTCTCGAACTCCTGACCTCAGGTGATCCACCTGCCTCTGTCTCCCAAAGTGCTGGGATTACAGCCGTGCACCACTGCACCTGGCCGAGAATTGGCCACATTGAATCACAAAGACTCCAGGCTCTTTCAGGCCCCAGAGGTGGCTGCACCAGTTTCTAATGCCTTCTGCCAAGGTGCTGGGGACTCACCCCTCCTTGGGTGGACTAGTTCCAGCTACTCAGGAGGCTGAGTTGGGATAATTGCTTGAGGCCGGGAGGTCCAGGTGGCAGTGAGCTGTGATCGCGCCACTGCACTCCAGCCTGGGCGACAGAGTAAGACGCTCTTTAAGATATACCAGCCTGAGTGCGTAGACTGCACTCCCAGATGCTCCCAGTCCTGAACTCGCCACCCTCCACTTCTCATCCTTGGTAACCCCCCGTCAAGTTAATTTCAGAAGTTCTCTGATCCGCAGGTCACCCTCCTGGTGCAGGCTGGTGACAGAGCAGTCCCCTTTCTGGTGTCCTGGCTGCCTCCAGATTTTCACCTTTCACTGCATAGCCGAGGGATGGAAATGTGACTGTGACCCTCCCTCACTCTAGGTCCTTCCGTAGCTCCCTACTGCCTGCAGGAGAGAGCCTAAAATGCTCAGCCTGGCATCCGGGGCTCTTCAGCTTTGGCCTCCAACTGACCCCCCACGTCCTGTTTTCTTCCTCTCCCACCAAGGACCTAATAATCTAGTGGGTCCCAGCTGCAGGAGTTTCCATGCTTTTGCACTGGCTGTTCCCCTTCCCTGGAATGCCCTTCCCCCTGTGCCCATCTGGCCTCTCCAAGCTCACCCTCCCACGCACCATCTGGGGAAAGCCTTCCGCAAGGACACCCCACACTTCCTAGAGCAAAGTCCCCTTCAAAGAATCCCTTGCTAGAGACATAGCTCTCTTATCTCACTGTGTGACGGGTGTGGGCCTGGCCGTCTCACCTTGGCCTTGGGGACTGAGCCCAGCAGCCTGTCTGATAAGGAGGCCAGCCTGAGGGAAATACAGCCAAGAAAGAGACCGAATCCCAAGGGAAGGACTGGTTCCCTAGCCTTGGAACCAGCCACGCCTGGCATTCACAGGACACCCAGTTTCAGAAGCCAGTCTCTCCCGTTTGATTTCTTCCCGAAGGGGTTCCTGCCAGATACTCAAACTAGTACCGGAAGTGGGGAGTTGAAATTAACAGACTAATGTGGAATTGCTGACTCAAATTAGATTTCCCTGATCCCAGCCGGGAAGAGAAATGAGCATCTCCTTCTATCACGCCATAAATCCACTCCCACTGCCTGAGTCAGGTGACACTAGGCTTTTGTTTTTTGCAGTGGACCAGCTCACCAGACACTGATCTCTCCACCTCCTCCCCCCATTTTATTTATTTATTTTTGAGCCAGAGTCTTGCTCTGTCGCGCAGGCTGGAGTCCAGAGGCTCGATCTCAGCTCACTGCAACCTCTGCCTCCCTGGTTCAAGTGATTCTCCTGCCTCAGCCTCCTGAGTAGCTGTGATTACAGGTGCCCACCGCCATGCCGGGCTAATTTTTGTATTTTTAGTGGAGATGGGGTTTCACCATCTTGGCCAGGCTGGTATTGAACTCCTGACCTCGTGATCCACCAGCCTTGGCCTCCCAAAGTGCTGGGATTACAGGCATAAGCCACCGCACCCAGCCATGCCTGGCTACTTTTTAAAATTATTTGTAGAGACAGGCGGTCTTACCATACTGCCCAGGTAAGCCAGGGTGCCTGGCCCCTTCTGTTTTGTGTGTGTGTGTGTGTGTGTGTGTGTGTGTGCGCGCGCGCGTGTTATGGAGTCTCTCTCTGTCTCCCAGGCTGGAGTGCAATGGCGCAATCTCGGCTCACCGCAACCTCCGCCTCCCAGGTTCAAGCGATTCGCCAGCCTCAGCCTCCTGAGTAGCTGGGATTACAGGCACGCGCCACCATGCCCAGCTAATTTTTTGTATTTTTAGTAGAGACGGGGTTTCACCATGTTGGCCAGGCTGGTCTCAAACTCCTGACGTCAGGTGATCTGCCTGCCTCGGCCTCCCGAAGTGCTGGGATGACAGGTGTGGGAGGACAGGCTGGGGTGGGGGGCTGCTGCAGCGGGATGTGGGGACACCCAAGCCGCCGTCCCCTGCCTAGCCAGTCCTCGGCTGGAGTCCGCAGTCAGATCACACTGCCCCAATGAGCACGTCTCTAAATTTAGCTTTCTCCCCCAGCCAGGGGACTCCGGGATTCAGGGGAGGAACGAACGCTGGCTCTTTCGAGGAAAAACACTGCATCACTCATTCTGGAACCACAGCTGCTGTCTGTCGCACCATTCTCCATTCTTCAGTGAGGGGCCTCTTGGGGCGAGCTGCTTTGGGTGCCTTTGATGGAAAACCCTTCCCCGTCTTCCTCGTCCTTGAGATGCAGCCGGGGAGGTTGCTCTCCAGCCACGCTTGCAGGTTTCACCCGTGGAAACTGGATCTGTGTCACATCCGGCCTTAAAAGCTTCCCGGCTGGGCGCCGTAGCTCAGGCCTGTAATCCCAGCACTTTGGGAAGCCGAGGTGGGTGGAACAACTAAGGTCAGAGTTCGAGACCAGCCTGACCAACACGGTGAAACCCCGGCTCTATTAAAAAATACAAAACTTAGCCGGGCGTGGTGGCAGATGCCCATAATCCCAGCTGCTTGGAAGGCTGAGGCACAAGAATCACATGAGCCCAGGAGGCGGAGGTTGCAGTGAACTGACATCAGACCACTGCACTCCAGCCTGGGTGACAGAGAGTGAGACTCTCAAAAAAAAAAAAAGCCTCCCATGGCTCCCACTAAGCTCAGCACCTCCCGGCGCTTCACCACCTCTATGGTTGTCACCTCTGCTTCCAGCTTCTCCTGTCTCCCAAAGCCTCCAGGCACAGGCAACCTCAGGTCCTTTGCACATGCTCTCCCCAGCTCTTCTGAAGGCCAACTACTTCTCTGCTCTTGCAGCTCCTCCAAGAGGCCCTCCCCGGCCAGCCCATCGCGGCCGCCCTTAGCTACTCTATTGTCAGGGCCGGATTCCTACCTGCTATCCTGTGCCCCCCATTACTGCCAGTCTCACTGCACCCTTGCTTCCCACAGAAGGCTACATGCTCCCCGCTAGGGTAATGATCAGGCCTGGCTCTGGCATCGATTTATGTCTGAAGCCTGGAACAGAAGCAGATGAAAGGGTAAAGTCTGAGGGAGGAGGGGCCGGGCACGAAGGCTCACGCCTGTAATCACAGCACTTTGGGAGGCCGAGGTGGGAGGATTGCTTGAGCCCTGGCGTTCCAGACCAGCCTGGCCAACACAGTGAGATCCTGTCTCTACAAACTAATAAATTAGCTGGGTGTGGTGATGCATGCCTTTAGTCCCGGCTACTTGGGAGGCTGAGGCAGGAGGGTCACTTGAGCCTGGGAGGTCGAGGCTACAGTGAGCTATGATTATGTCACTGCACTCCAGCCTGGGCAACAGAGCAAGACTCTATCTCAAAAAAAGAAAAACAGAGAAGACCACGGGACATACACGTTATCGTGGAAGACAAACCCGTCTACTCAAGAGCAGCCTCCAAGTCTCTCCTCCAGGACCCTCCTACCTTCATCCTCCACGACCTCATCCTTGAACTCAGGGCCCAGCAAACTGTCTCTATAAAGGGCCTGCTGGTCTCTGTCCCAGCTGCTCAGCTCTGCCATTGCAGGGACACCACAGAGAGGGCAGAAGCCAAAGACCGTGGCTGCATTCCAAGAAAACTTTATTTATGGACATTGGAATTTCCCTTTCATATTACTTTTTTTTCTTTTTTTGAGACAGAGTCTCTGGCTCTGTCGCTCAGGCCTGAGTGCAGTGGCACGATCTCAGCTCACTGTAACCTCCGCCTCCTGGGTTCAAGTGATTCTCCTGCCTCAGCCTCCTGAGTAGCTGGGATTACAGTCATGCACCACCACACCCGGCTCATTTTTTGTATTTTTAGTAGAGACGGGGTTTCACCATGTTGGCCGGGCTGGTCTCGATCTCTTGGCCTCATGATCCACCCGCCTCGGCCTCCCAAAGTGCTGGGATTACAGGCATGAGCCACCGTGCCTGGCCCTGGCTGCATTTTTCAATCTCTTAAATTAAATGTACTGATACTCATGGCACCTAATAAGCTCTCAAGAAGTGTTTAAAAAAATAAGACCAAAATATATAAATAGAGCCCCTCAACTCAGCAGTGAGTCCCTTCTCGCTGGCACAAACAGTAGATGATATTTATAGACTGTTTTACTGTGTGCCGAAGACACAGCACTATGATGTCCTCAGTTGCTGTTTCCAAGGAACGTGCCTGACACATCTCCTGACTGATCAGGTGGATGTCGTCCACTGGCTTCAGGATTTAGCTCTCCCAGGTGTTCCACTCCGCCAGTAGTTAAATCACAGTTTTTGCTTACATGAAAATTCAGTGCTTATAGTATATGTTAATATAAATAGAATTGACAGTGGAGCAATGGACACTAAGAACATCATTTTCTGGGACCTGCTTTTTTATTTCCCCGGAGTTAGTCATCGCCTTGGTTTTACGTGTCTGTGGCTCTCTCTTTTCCCCAGCCTCTCCGCCTGAACTGACTTCTCCACTCGGGACCGGCTGCTCCTCCCGCCCAGCTGTGATCCTGGCCCCTCTCTTCTTCAGCACCAGGGGATTCTCGGGATGTAGCTCCTGTTTCTTGGGTGTGGGTCTTCCTGTTTCTTGGTTTGCTTCCTGGTGTTGGGGATGTGCGACCCCTCGTGTTTCCAGAGAAAGTGTTTTTCTCCTACTCTCCCGGGTAATTGGTGGTTTGGCCAAGGAGAGTCTCGTGGGTGGATAATCTTCTTTTGGCCCATGTTTTCCAGCTTCTAGTCTTGGGCAGCTGAATGATCAGAAGTTGTCCTGTTTCCTCATCCTTTGCCTGTCCCCTGGTTAATTTCTCTCCTCTCTCTCTCTGGAAGCTTCTAGAATCATCTCGTTCCCTACATCTGCTCTTTCACAGTGCTGGGTTTGGTGTGGGTCTATTTTCAACCATTGTGCCAAGTACCTGGCGGGCTCTTTCATGGGTTCTCTTCCTGGAAAATGCCCTTGAATTCGATCATTGGTGATTTCTTCCACTTTGGTTTCTCTGGTGTCTTTGTGGAACACGTTGCTGTCAGAGGGTGGACTTCTTGGATTGAGCTTCTCATTTTCTTCCCTACCTTCCCTCATGCCCCCATTTCCTACTTTTTCTTCCAACCCATTCTATTGACATTTTAATTTTGACTATTAGATTTTTTTTTTTGGAGACAGGGTCTCATGCTGTTGCTTAGGCTGGAGTGCAGTGGTGCAATCACAGCTCACTGTAGCCTCGACCTCCTGGGCTCAAGCAATCCTCCTGCCTCAGCCTCCCAAGTAGCTGGGACTACAGGTGCCTGTCACCACAATTTTTTTATTTTTATTTTTAGTATCACTATGTTGCCCAGGCTGGTCTCAAACTCCTGAGCTCAAGCCATCTGCCTGCCTCAGCCTCCCAAAGTGCTGGGATTACAGGCATGTGCCACCATACCCAGTGGCTATCAGAGTTTTAATTTCCAAGGGCTCTTTCTGGTTCTTTCATTGTTCCTCTTTAAAAGACAAACTTGGCCGGGCGCGGTGGCTCACGCCTGTAATCCCAGCACTTTGGGAGGCCGAGGTGGGTGGATCACGAGGTCAAGAGATTGAGACCATCCTGGCCAATATGGTGAAACCCCATCTCTACTAAAATATATATATACACAAAAATTAGCTGGGCGTGGTGGCATGCACCTGTGGTCCCAGCTACTTGGGAGGCCAAGGCGGAAGAATCACTTGAACCCAGGAGGCGGAGGCTGCAGTTGAGCCAAGATTGTGCCATTGCACTCCAGCCTGGTGACAGAGCAAGACTCCGTGTCAAAAAAAAAAGACAAACTTGGTTGGCCGCAGTGGCTCATGGAGTTCAGGAGTTTGAGACCAGCCTGGGCAACACAGTGAGACCCCCCATCTCCAAATAATACATAAATAAATACAAGAATTTCTGGGCCCAGTGCAGTGGTTCACGCCTGTCATCCCAGCACTCTGGGTGGCTGAGGTGGGTGAATCACCTGAGGATAGGAGTTTGAGACCAGGCTGGCCAACATGGCCAAACCCCATCTCTACTAAATATACAAAAATTGCCAGGCGTGGTGGCGCACACCTGTAATCCCTGTTACTTGGGAGGCTGAGGCAGGAGAATCGCTTGAACCCGGGAGGTGGAGGTTGCTGTGAGCTGAAATTGTGACACTGTAGCACTCTAGCCTGGACAAGAAGAGTGAGACTCTGTCTCAAAAAAAAAAAAAAAGTCAGCCAGGTGCAGTGGTTCACACCTGTAATCCCTGCACTTTGGGAGGCTGAGGGGGGTGGATCACCTGAGGTCAGGAGTTCGAGACCGGCCTGGCCAACATGGTGAAACCCCATCTCTACTAAAAACGCAAAAATTAGCTGGGCGTGGTGGCGCGTGCCTGTAATCCCAGCTACTCAGGAGGCTGAGGCAGGAGAATTTCCTGAACCCAAGAGGCGGAGGTTGCGGTGAGCCGAGATCGCGCCATTGCACTCCAGCCTGGGTGACAAGAGCAAAACTCAATCTAAAAAAATAAAAACACATACAAAGAAAAAGGACAAAAAAGCAGGAAAGCAGGAGGGAACCAGAGCGTTCACAGTCGCTGTTCTGTTTCCTTCTTCTGTTTTTCTGGATTGTCCAAGTTTTTCATTGTGGGAAAAACCCAATTCATGAGAAAAACAAATTTATGTGGAAAAATACATGTAACATACATTTTCCCATCTTATTTTCTATTTTATTCTTTTTGTTTATTTATTTGAGACGGTGTCTCGCTCTGTCACCCAGGCTGGAGTGCAATGGCGCAATCTGGACTCACTGTAACCTCTGCCTCCCGGGTTCAAGCGATTCTCCTGCCTCAGCCTCCCGAGTAGCTGGGATTACAGGCACCCACCACCACACCTGGCTAATTTTTGCATTTTTAGTAGAGATGAGGTTTTGAACTCCTGACCCCAAGTGATCCTCCCACCTCAGCCTCCCAAAGTGCTGGGATGACGGGCGTGAGTCACCGCGCCCGGCCAATGGTTCCTGATGCGTTTCATTCCAAAACTTGGGAGTGACCGTTTCCCACCCAGATGCCTCCTCCACCTTAACGACATAAGCGGGTCTTCGTCTGCTCACCCCAAACATCTTAGTCCTAGAAGCTCAACCAGGGAGGCAGCAAGCAACAAGATCGGCAGCGACAATCTTTTCAAAGGACCCTGAGCCTGGCCAGGGCCAGGGTGATAGTGACTGGGCCGGGGCGGGGCGGGGTGGGAGGGGGGTGCTCAGGGCATCCCAGCGGCCGTGTCTCTGTGCTGTCTGTGACCTTGCAGACGCAGCCGTCAGCCTGCCCTTCCGTTTTTGTCTTTCCAGCACCTCCTGCAGGATTGGGCTCCAGCCCTGCCCACACGCCCGGTATCATCCCGCCCACACTCACCGAGGTCGCCTAGCAACCCAGCTCACCGCCAGCATCCGCAGCTAGGGCCCCCGCGCTCCAGTTCTCTGTGGGGGGGTGGGGGGGATTGCTTCTCCAGCCCCTGCAGTCTGGGGTGTCTTCCCTCCACCCGCTGGCCTGCTCCGGGACTGCTGCCGGGTAGTGCTGGGGAGGACGGGTCAGGAACGGCTGCTTTTCAGGCCCCCGGGCTCGGTAGCCCAGACGGCCCATCCATCTGCACCCAATCCCTTTGCTAACCAACTGCTGGATTTTGCTGTCGCGCCGCCTAAACTTGGTGTTTTGGAGTTGCTGGGAGGGCCGACTTAACTCTTTGTCAGCGGGGCTGGCTGGCATCCACCTGGCGGGGGGAATCCTCTTCGCCTTCCCTGGGAGCCAGGGATGGGAATGGGAGCCGTGGGTGGGAGGCTTCCGAGAACGGCCTCTCCCAGGGCGTAAGGAAGGAAGCGGGCCCGCAGGTGCCGCCTGGGGGTCACAGCAGGGGACGAGGTGCCTCCCACCAGGGGCTGCTGTGATGGCCAGGCCTGCCAGGGTGTGCCCCTTCCCCCGTCCCTTCCCTCTGTCCCCATTGCCTTGGCTGGAGTCTCTCTCCTGTAACGAGATGGAGACAAATGGTGTTCTTTTCGTGTTTGAGACTTGTCTCCCAGGCTGGAGTGCAATGGCGCAGTCTCGGCTCACTGCAACCTCCGCCTCCCGGGTTCAAGACATTCTCCTGCCTCAGCCTCCAGAGTAGCTGGGACTACAGGCCCCCGTCACCATGCCCCGCTAATTTTTGTATTTTTAGTAGAGACGGGGTTTCACCTCGTGGGCCAGGCTGGTCTCAAACCCCTGACCTCAGGTGATCCTCCCGCCTCGGCCTCCCACAGTGCTGGGATTACAGGCGTGAGCCACTGTGCCTGGCCGAGCATTGTCTGTTTGAGACAGTCTTGCTCTGTCGCCAGGCTGGAGTGCAGTGGGGAAACGTCGGCTCACCGCAACCTCCGCCTCCCGGGTTCAAGTGTTCTCCTGCCTTAGCCTCCCAAGTAGGTGAGATCACAGGCACCGGCCACCACGCCCAGCTAACTTTTGTATTTTTAGTAGAGATGGAGTTTCACCATGTTGGCCAGGCTGGTCTCAAACTCTTGACCTCTACTGGTCCGCTGGCCTGACCTCGCAAATTGCTGGGTCCACCTAACCCGCCCGATATCTGGGCTGTAGAGTTTCTGGGAGACCCCCACTGGGGACCCTGAGAAGGAGGTGAAGGACCCAGCGTTGGGGGTCTTCACCACACATGGTAGTGACCCTACACACCACGGGAAGGACGGCACAGCTCACACGGAAGACACGCGGTTTCCTTTATTCCCCCGTCTGCCAGTTTCCAGGCAGCTCCACAAAGACGTGCACACAGCGGGCCACGCGCAGGGTGTCCCTTCCTTCAAACAGAGAGAAGCGAAACCGAGCCAGCGGCCGGAGATCAGCTCTGCCCAAAGGCGGACTCTTCTCGTCCAATGCCGCTGGGCAGCTGGCCAAAAAAACACTGACCAAGTGGGAGGTCTAAACAGGTTGGGGCGGGGGGGCTCAGAAGGGGGTGCCCCCACATCCATCAGTGCCAGGAGGTACGTGCCCACCACAGCCAGCATCCACAGGATAGCGGCACCTCCCCGGGTTCCCCAGGAACGGGTCCCGGGCCCTATTCCCACAAGGGGGGGGATTTGGGGACCCCCTGCCTCAGGGCTAGCCGCCGCCTACATCAGGGAAGGAGGGAGGAAGGACGAAAGCTGAATTCCAGGCATCAGTGACACATGTCAGAGAGGGTTTTCTCTATGAAAGGCATTCAGTGGTACAGGGCTGGGGTGGGGTGGGGATGTGTCTGGGCTCCGGGTCTGTCGGGCACATCTGTTCCCGGAGGAGGCCCAACCAGCACCCTCATCGCCTGTTGGGGTGTTCACCTGGCCCCGTGGCCCTCCCCACAGGGATGTGCCTGGCTCCGGCCCTGCTGACGTCCCGGCTGCCAAGCTGGGCAGGGGTTCTGTCTGGGCTGGGGTCCCAAGGATGCCAGCCGGGCACTCTCCTAGGCTTGTCCACACACATGGTGGGGCCCCAAAACACGACCCGCCCACGTGATTTCAAATCCACGCCACAGGGCATCCAAAGAATGTTTTGTTTTGTGTTTGAGACAGGGTCTTGCTCTGTCACCCAGGCTGGAGTTCAGTAGTGTGATCTTGGCTCACTGCAGCCTTGACCTTCTCAGCTCAGGGCATCCTACGGCCTCAGCCTCCTCAGTAGCTGGGACTGCAGGCTCGGGGCCACCACACCCGGCTAATTTTTGGGAGTCACCATATTGCTCAGGCTGATCTCAAACTCCTCGGCTCAAGTGATTAACCAACCTCAGCCCCCCAGGTGCTGGATTACAGGTGTGAGCCGCCATGCCCCGTGAGCCGCCATGCCCCCGAGCCGCCATGCCCCGCGAGCCACCATGCCCCCTGAGCCGCCATGCCCCATGAGCCGCCATGCCCCCTGAGCCGCCATGCCCCCTGAGCCGCCATGCCTGGCCCAGAGGAAGCATTTCACATCCACCCCTTCCTGCACCACGAGGTGTGTTCAGAGCCAGCGAGAAACCCTGGAGTTGAGAGTCTCCTTGCTGTACTGCTGGCCCATGTGGCTCTGGGGGACGGGGCCCTCCAGGAAGGGGCTGCCACTCCCGGTGCTGGATGGTGCCATCTCTCTAACAATTTAAGCACAAATGTTAAAATAAAAATTCCTTTAAGAGACAAGGTCCTCGTTGCCCAGGCGGCAGCGCAGTGGTGCAGAGTTCAGCGCCCTCCTAGTCTCCAGGAATCCTCCAGACTCAGCCTCCCGAGTAGCTGGGACTACAGGTGCACACCACCATGCCAGGATAATTTTTGTTTTTACTAGAGACAGGCTTTCACCATGTTAGCAGGCTGGTCTCGAACTCCTGACCTCAGATGATCTGCCCACCTCGGCCTCCCAAAGGGCTAGGATTGCAGGTGTGAGTCACCGCACCTGGCCAGCCACCACAACAAGCTTTTAAAAATATTTTGGAGAGATGGGGGTCTCACTCTGCTGCCCAGGCTGGCCTTGAACTCTCGGGCTTAAGCAACTCGGCCTCCTAAAGTGCTGGGATTAAATGCATGCACCACGGCGCCCGGCCTCAAGCACACATTTTAAAAGAAACCAACGGAGTGTTACTCAAAGGAACTACTGTTGTCCAACGTCGGGGTGAAACAGCCGTTGGTCGGCGTCCACGTGTCCAGGAGTGCAGGGGTGCGAAGGCCGGCAGGTAGCGGGGACAGGCGGCTCACATGAGCCCCTCTCTGCCCTCTCTGCCCCCTGGCCCCGCTTCCTCTCCCCTGCGCCCTCCTTGGCCTCGCCATGCCCCCGCTGCCTCTTCCAGAACTGGGCCCCGAGCTGGTGTCTGGGTGGCAGGAGATCCATGCCCAGGACTTTGTGTGTCTACCGGAAGGCCAGCATTCGCAGGGCACGCTGCGGGGTGCACAATGCCCATCAGGACCCCCGCCCACCCTGCTCCCCGGGAGCTGGGGGCACAGAGGGGCTGGCGTCTGCGGCCACCAGCGGATGGGCCAGGCCTGTCCTGTGTCCCTCAAGACACTCTCCCTTCTTGTTTTGAGATGGAGTCTCACTCTGTCGCCCAGGCTGGAGTGCAGTGGCACCATCTCAGCTCATCGCAACCTCCGCCTCCCAGGTTCAAGTGATTCTCCTGCCTCAGCCTCCCGAGTAGCTGGGATTACAAGCACCCACCACCACGCCTGGCTAGCTTTTGTATTTTTAAGTAGAGATATGGTTTTACCATGTTGGCCAGGCTGGTCTCAAACTCCTAACCTTAGGTGATCCGCCCGCCTCCACCTCCCAAAGGGCTGAGATGACAGGCGTGAGCCACCGTGCCCAGACAAGACACTGCTTCCTGGGACCGCTGAGTTTGGGTCCCCGAAGGGCCCAAGGAATTTTCGCTTGCTGCTGGCTGACCACCAGGACTGTCCCAGGAAGCCCCCGCTCCACTGACCGCCAGCTCTTTCTGCCTCACTGGTGGGACCCCACATCCTGCGCTGCGAGCGATGCCACCGATCCCGTTTTAAAGGGCACGCATAAACGTCAGACCCAGTGCGGTTTGGGTTTTGTGCTGCTGGGAAACTTTTCTTACAAACACATGTGGAAACAAGGAAACCACAGGTGAGGGCTGGCCAGGCCAAGCTGCTGGCCATGGCTGGGCGTTTAGGACCGTGGTCAGGAGCGTGGTCAGAGAATGGTCTCCGCCAGTGAAACCTGAGGTCTGGGCCTGGTTATGGTGGTGGCTTTGGCTCTCAGCTGCCAGCCCAATGTCAGCACGCCAGGCTGGCCCTGTCCCCAGGTGCAGTCCTGCCACCCACAGCCTGTACACCTCTGTGGGAGGGAAGAAGAACCTGGGGTATTTCAGGGAATGTCGCACAGCTGTATGATGGAGCTGGGACCCCTGCCGTGGATTCAGTGGCCGAGGGGCCCAGCCCTCCTACCTGGGCGCTGGCGGTCACGTCCTCCCACTCCTGGAGGGTCATGGGCTCGAGGGCGTCTGTCTGGTCTCTCTCACAGGGATCCTGGAGCCCGGAGCCGTCTTTGTGAGGGGGAGCGGGAGCAGCAAAGAAAGTGAGACGTCACCCTCATGAAACACGGTGACAAGCCCGTCCCACGACACCGCGGGGCCTTAGGGGCCCAAGCATGGGCTATACCTGCAGCCACAGTGCAGCTGACCCTCAGGCCTCACTCAGCAGATGCAGGGGCTCACCTGGGCTCATGGGAGAGTCCTCGCAGCCCCTCAAGGCCCACTGGGCTGCCAGCACCTCCCAGGCTTTGTGTGTGTGTGCCTGTGTGCACCCTTGTGTGTGCATGGGTATGCTCATGTGTCCATGGGTGTCCGTGTGCACATGCATGTTTGTGTGTGCCTGTGTCTGCCGGTCTGTGTGCATGCGTGCATGTGTATCTGTGTGTATGTATGTACCCATGTGTGCCCATGTGCATGCATGTCCATGTGTGTGCCTGTGTGCACATGTCTGTGTGCCTGTGTATGCATGTGTGCATGTGTGTGCCTGTGTGCGTGTGCACGTGCACCTGTGAGTGCATGTATGTGTGTGCCCGTGTGCATGCATGCCCATGTGTGTGTGCCCATGTGTGCATGTATGTGTGTGGGCCACATGCACATACATGTTTGTGTGCCTGTGCACGTATGTGCCCGTGCCTGTGTGCATGCATTCCGTGTGTCCATGTGTCTATGTATGTGTGCCTGTGCGTGCCCATATACCCATGCATGTTGTGTGTGCCTGTGCATGTCCTTATGCAAGGCACGTCTGTGTGTGCATGTGTGTGCCCGTGTCTATGTGCGTGCATGTTCGTATGTGTGCATATACACCTGCAGGTGTCTGTTCCTGTGTGCCCGTGTGCATGCATGTCTGTGTGTGCCCGTGTGCCCGTGTGCATGCATGTCCATGTGTGTGCCCGTGTGCCCGCATGTGTGCCTCTGTGTGCACTGTCAGTGTGTTCCGTGTGTGCGTTTGTGCATGCACGTCAGTGTGCCTGTGTGCACTCATGACCGTGTGTGCACCCGTGCCTGCGCATGCCCACACGCGTGCTTTAGATAATGGCTCAGGCCATGGGCCCAATGCTTTACTCTTCCTTTTCACTTGGTATCATCCTATGTCACTAAAAATGACTCAGAAACTCCTTTTCCATATCTGACCGCCACCCCCTCACACGAGCGTATCCTGGCACGTTCTCTCCCCTGTGCTGGTGTAGAATGCACTGTGCCATGCGGCTCTGTGCCCCCTGTCATCCTCAGGTACTGGCTGTTCCCTCTGGATAATCTCTGGAGGATGGGCATCGGGGTGGCTCTGTGCCGGGGGGGCTCTGTGCCACCACTGCTGTGGGCATGGCCACAAGAGAACATGACTGCTGGCTCCTGGGTGGGGGCTGAGCCCTCCCTCTAGGGACCTGTGTGCCTATGCCCTGTGTGCAGGGTGATGCCCTCCGTGGCTGCAGCCTGCCTGCCCCTCTGCTGGGAGCACATGTGTGTTGTGAGCTGCTCTCCTGCCTGTGCTGCAGGCTTCCTCTGTGCCTGTGACCCCAGCTCTCTGTGCCACGGCTACGGGCCCTGGTCTCTGTGATTTGCTGCCCACCTTCTGGGCCTTCCATCCCAACAACTGACCTGGCATGAGCGTCCCTGTGGCCACGCACTCCAGGACCCACCGCACTGCGTCCCCGGGGCTCAGAGGCCCAGCCGCAGTGCTCACGGCCTTCTCCACCAGCAGCTCCATGGCCTGGTGGGGACAGAAGGGCGGTTGCTGTGCTTTCATGGGGTACAGCAACCCCTGCTTGCCTGGGAGGTCCCAGGGACCCTGGGACAAGAGGCCCCTCCCAGCTCTTTCTCTCTTTTTTTTTTTTTTTTTTTTTGAGACGAGTCTCACTCTGTTGCCCAGGCTGGAGTGCAATGGCACCATCTTGGCTCACTGCAACCTCCGCCTCCCGGATTCAAGCAATTCTCCTGCCCCAGCCTCCAGAGCATCTGGGACTACAGGCATGTGTGACCGTGGCTGGCTAATTTTTTTTTTTTTTTTTTTTTTTTTTTTTTAGTAGAGACAAGGTTTCACCATGCTAGTCAGGCTGGTCTCAAACTCCTGACCTTGTGATCTGCCCGCCTTGGCCTCCTGAAGTGCTGGGATTACAGGGGTGAGCCACCGCATCCGGCCTCCCAGCTCTTTCTCTAACTCCCACCATCCACTGAGGAGGGCAGCCCATGGGGGACCTCTGCCATCTCCTGACACAGCCATGGGCTGGTTTCTTTTCTTTCTTTCTTTTTTCTTTTTTTGAGATGGAGTCTCGCTCTTTTGCCCAGGCTGAAGTGCAGTGGCACAAACTCAGCTCGCTGCAACCTCCACCTCCCGGGTTCAAGTGATTCTCCTGCCTCAGCCTCCCACATGGGCTGGTTTCTTTACCCGTTTGAGCCTCAGTTTACCCGGCTGGTCCACAGTAACATCACACGCCAGCATCATAAGCACTGCCCAACACATGGGGCCCGCCTCAGCTGAGGGGAAGGAGCCATTCTACCCCACCAGGTCCCCGCGTGGCCAGCTCCCGAGGGCTCGGGGGAACATGGGCAGTGGTGGCGTCCCAAAGCACTATGTGGGCACCTCTACATTCATAGCAGGAAAACGGGTTTCAGGGAACACAGGCCCCCTCCACGCCAGAGCAGGCCCATGCTGGTCACCCAGCACTCCTCCTAGGAGTGGAGAGATTTCCCCTGAACAATGGGTGTGTAAGGCTGGGTGCCGTGGCTCACCCATGTAATTCCAGCCCTTAGGGAGGCCGAGGTGGGCGGATCACCTGGGGTCAGGAGTTCGAGATCAGCCTGGCCAACATGGTGAAACCCCATCTCTACTGAAAATACCAAAATTAGCCGGGCATGGGGGTGGTCACCTGTAATCCCAGATACTTGGGAGCCCAAGGCTGGAGAATCACTTGAACCAGGAGGCAGAGGTTACAGTGAGCCGATATTGTATCACTGCACTCCAGCACGGGTGACAAAGCAAGACTCCATCTCAAGAAAAACACAAACCCTCCCCCAAACAAATAAAGGTAGGTGTCCCCTGAGGCCCTTGGTTTTGAATATAGCCAAGGGTGGTTGGGGCTAGGGTGTGACGGGGCCTGCTTGCCTGAGAACCAGGTTCTGGGCACGGAGGAGAGGGTCTGGCAGGGGGACGGTGTGTGTAGCACGTGAATATCCCTTCAATTTCAGAGGCAGTAACGTCATGGACAGATATGGTCACTTCTCAAACACTCACGCAGAAGCTGAAAGACTTAAAAGCTTCCTTAGGCCGGGCACAGTGGCTGATGCCTATAATCCCAGCACTTTGGGAGGCCAAGGCAGGAGGATTGCTTGAGCCCAGGAGTTTGAGACCAGCCTGGGCAATGTAGCAAGATCCCTACAAAGCAATTTAAAAATTGGTGGTGGCATGCGCCTGTGGTCCCAGCTGCTTGGGAGGCTGAGGTGGGAGGATCACTTGAGCCCAGGATGTTGAGGCTGCAGTGAGCTACGATGGTGTCACTGCACTCTGGCCTGGGCAACAGAGCACGTCTCTGTCTCAAGTTAAAAAATAAAAATAGGTGAGGCACGGTGGTTCAGGTCTATAATCCCAGCACTTTGGAAGGCTGAGGCAGGCGGGTCACCTGAGGTCAGGAGTTTGAGATGAGCCCGACCAATAGGACAAAACCCCGTCCCTACTAAAAATACAAGAATCAGCTGGGTGTGGTGGTGGGCACCTGTAATCCCAGCTACTCAGGAGGCTGAGGCAGGAGCATTGCTCGAGCCCGGGAGGCAGAGGTTGCAGTGAGCCGAGATCGCGCCGCTGCACTCCAGCCTGGGTGACAGAGTGAGACGCCATCTAAAAACATAAGTAAGTAAACAAAATAAAATTTAAAAGGAGACTGTGTTTTTTTTAAAAAAGCCTCCATACTGGGCTGCGTTCTGGACACTGGGCAGTGGGTGGGGGCGGTGGGGGTAAGGGACAGGGCCCTGTGGGAGGGACCAGAGGTAAGATGCCACTCTGCCATGAGATGGGGGACACCTGCAGGGCAGGGGAGGAGGCCAGGTGTGGACAGCTGGCCTGTGGCTGGTGGAGAAGGTGTGGGGACTAGGTGGGGACCTGGGGTCTTCGTGGGGAGCATGGGGATGGGGCCTGCTCTGTGAACCTTGTTGGGGGAGGGGGTTCTGCTCCTCTTCCCTCCCCTCCCTACTGGGAGGGGCTGGGGGGTGGTGTCAGAGCCACAGGGGGTCTTCTCCCCTCCAGAGCAGGTGGGTCTGGGCTGGGTCAACCAGAGGCCGGCATGCAGCCAGGATGGGGGGTCCCGCTTCCTGTCCTCTGCCTGGGCCCCTCCACCCAGTGCCACAAGGTCAAGCGGTCACTGCTTATTTCCCTGGCCAGTCTCGAATTTGCATGCAACGTTCTATGTTTTGAATAATGGCAGTCAAATGAGGCTGTGGAGGGGCCGTGTCCCCCGCCCAGGGGACCTCAGAGGCTCCCACACCCTGTCTTGAGCACTAGGTCTCTCGCTGGCCCCTTTGAGGGAAGCCGCACTCTGGGAAAGGGGCTGTCTCGGCCTTGGCCTGTCCAGGCCATGGAGCCCCTTGGGGTTCCCAGTGGAGGGCTGGGCACACCTTACCCAGGCTGGCAGGGCCCCCCAGGTGGGCACGCACCGGCAGAGGTCTCGCAGGACCTTGATGGCGATCACACATAGCTGCAGGCCGCTGGCTCGAGCCTTCAGGGGAGAAGCGCATGGTTAGCTCTCGGGGGCTCACGTGGTCACACGGGCGTGAACCCCAGGGAGGATGATGTAGAGCCTGGCTGGCCTCAAAGGTGACAGGTGGAAGCAGAGTCCACCTCAAGTTTAATCCCACCAGGCCATTGAGTGGCCACTCATGAGCCAGGAAGCTGATGGTGAGCATCCTGGTCTTCGTGGGGAGCGCACGGGCTGAGGCGGCCATGCTGGGTCGGGCTGATGCCTCTGAACCATGTTCCCCCAAGCTGCCCCTCCCCCCGCTCCACCCCTGCCCCCCTGACCTGAAACCACCTGGCATGACGGAGGGCGGCCAGGGACTCCAGGCACCTCTCCCGGCTCAGGACGTCACCTGGGTCAGCCTGTGGCTCCCCCACACCTCCTAGAAGAAAAACCTCGAGGTATGTGGGGAAGGTGCCCTGTCCCGCTCTGCTCCCGAAGGGGTGAGGGGCTCAGTTTGTGCCCTCAATCCTTTTTTTTTTTTTTTTTTTTTTTTTTTTTTTGAGACACAGTCACCCAGGCAGTGGCATGATCTCGGCTCATTGCAACCTCCGCCTCCCGGGTTCAAGTGATTCTCCTGCTCAGCCTCGTGAGCAGCTGAGATTATAGGTGCCCACCACCACGTTTGGCTAATTTTTGTATTTTTCGTAGAGACGGGGTTTCACCATGTTGGCCTGGCTGGTCTCTAACTCCTGACCTCAGGTGATTCTCACGCCTCGGCCTCCCAAAGTGCTGGCCACCGTGCCTGGCCTCAATCCTTTAGGCCTCGTTTGATTCATCTGGGGAGCGATGGTCCTCCGGTGAGGACTGGACAAACCGTTCCTGGAAAACCTCACCTTCCGGGGAGTTCCGAGCTTACCGATTGCTACGGAGGGATTTCAGCCCTGATGCTCTTGGTTAAGTCAACTAGGGCGAAGACAGGAAACTATGAACTAAGCCACGTTTCTAGAAACTTCCCCATGCATCATGGAAAGGGAGAAAGTGGGTCAGATTTCAACACGTCCTGTCATTGACGACGACCCCTGAGTCTGGGAGAGATGTGGGTCCCTGTTCCCTCCCCGGTTCTTATTTCCCTTTACGACTATTTTTCTCGGCCGGGTGCGGTGGCTCACACCTGTAATCCCAGCACTTTGGGAGGCTGAGGCAGGCAGATCACGAGGTCAGGAGTTCAAGACCAGCCTGACCAACATGGTGAAACCCCGTCTCTACTAAAAAATACAAAAATTAGCTGGGCGTGGTGGCGAGTGTCTATAATCCCAGCTATGTGGGAGGCTGAGGCAGGAGAACTGCTTGAACTGGGACCCGGGAGGCAGAGGTTGCAGTGAGCTGAGATTGCGCCACTGCCCTCCAGCCTGGGCGACAGAGCAAGACTCCGTCTCAAAAAAAAAAAAAAAAAGAATATTTTTCTCAGCTGGGCACAGTGGCTCAACCTGTAATCCCAGCACTTTGGGAGGCCGAGGTAGGCAGATCACGAGGTCAAGAGTTCAAGGCTATCCTGGCCAACATGGCGAAAACCCATCTCTACTAAAAATTCAAAAATTAGCCAGGCGTGGTGGTACGTGCCTGTAATCCCAGCTACTCGGAAGGCTGAGGCAAGAGAATCACTTGAACCTGAGGAGCAGAGGTTGCAGTGAGCCGAGATCTCGCCAATGCCCCCAAGCCTGCGTGACAGAGTAACACTCCATCACAAAAAAGAAAATGTTTTTTCTCAACTGTACACAGTGGCTCACACCTGTAATCCCAGCACTTTGGGAGGCTGAGGCAGGAGGATCGCTTGAGCCCACGAGTTTGAGATCAGCCTGGGCAACACGGTGAGACCCTGTTTCTACAAAAAATAAAATTAGCCGGTGTGGTGGCACACGCCTGTGGTCCCAGCTATTCGGGAGGCTGAGGTGGAAGGATTGCTGGAGCCCCAGAGGTCGAGGCTGCAGTGAGCTATGACTGCACCACGGCGCTCCAGCCTGGCCCACAGTGAGACCCTGTGTCTTAAAAACCAAGAAACAAAATGGGCTATTTTTCTTATTTCATTCAATACTGTGGGAGACCCTGGGTTCATGTAGGTCACGTGATGGCACACAGGTGCTGGTCTGTCAGGGAAATTACTCCTTTGGGGCCGAGAGGGAAATGACAGAGGTGTAGATGAGGAATGGTTTTTTAAATTTTTATTTTTATGTATCTAGAGGCAGGGTCTCACTCTGTGGCCCAGGCTGGAGTGCAGTGGTGCGATCGTAGCTCGCTGCAGCCTCCAACTCCTGCCTCAGCCTCCTGAGTAGCTGGGACTCCAGGTGTGCGCCACCACACCTGGCTAATATTTATGTATTTAGAGATGGAGTCTCTCTCTGTCACCCAGGCTGGAGTGCAATGGCACGATTTCGGCTCACTGCAACCTCCGCCTCCTGGGTTCAAGCAATTCTCCTGCCTCAGCCTCCCGAGTAGCTGGTGTTACAGGTGCCTGCCACCACGCCTGGCTAATTTTTTATATTTTCAGTAGAGACGGGGTTTCACCATGTTGGCCAGGCTGGTCTCGAATTCCTGACCTCAGGTGAACTGCCAGCCTTGTGCTGGGATTGCAGGCGTGAGCCACAGCACCTGGTCAATTTTCTTTTTTTCTTTTTAGAGATGGGGGTCTCACTACCTGGCCCAGGCTGGTCTGGAATTCCCGGAGTCAAGCGATCCTCCCACCTCGATCTCCAAATGTGCCAGGATTAGAGCCATGGACCACTGTGGCCAGCCTAGAAAGGGAGTTTTAGAAGCTCACGTCCCCACCACGCTGTGCCCGGGGAGGGGAAATGGGCAGGAAAAGGCGGACAGGAAGTGCAGTTTCCTGGGGGGCGGCTCACGGGGCTCTTCTGTCGCTGATCTGTCCTCGCAGAAGGATTTCCGCTCACTTAATCACCCACCCAAGTCAGGAAAGAGCCACTGTCTAGTGGCCGCCAACCCTTTACCCGTCCCGCGCCCCCGCCATTTCCCAACCGCCTCTGAGTTTGTCGGAGCCTTCAGCTAGCACCGAAAGGCTCTCTGTTCGCCACACTGTACTTCTTTTTTAGATGACTATTTATGAGGACCGATCATGGCTTCCCACTTGATGATTTAAAGGTTCTCCTTAAAAAAAAAAAAAAACAAACAAGGGCCAGGCGCGGTGGCTCACGCCTGTAATCCCAGCACTTTGGGAGGCCGAGGCGGGTGGATCATGAGGTCAAGAGATTGAGACCATCCTGGTCAACATGGTGAAACACTGTCGTCTCTACTAAAAATACAAAAAATTAGCCGGGCCTGGTGGCGCGTGCCTGTAATCCCAGCTACTCAGGAGGCTGAGGCAGGAGAATTGCCTGAACCCAGGAGGCGGAGGTTGTCATGAGCCGAGATGGCGCCATTGCACTCCAGCCTGGGCTACAAGAGCAAGACTCTGTCTCAAAAAACAAAACAAAAAACTTAAGCTTTAAAAAGCAAATGGGGATGGCTGGGTATGGTGGCTCACGCCTGTAATCCCAGCACTTTGGGAGGCCGAGGCAGGCAGATCACCTGAGATTGAGAGTTTGAGACCAGCCCGACTAACATGGTGAAACCCCGTCTCTACTAAAAATACAAAAATTGGCCGGGCGCAGTGGCTCACGCCTGTAGTCCCAGCTACTCAGGAAGCGGAGGCAGGAGAATCGCTTGAACCTGGGAGGTGGAGGTTGCAGTGAGCCGAGATCACGCCACTGCACTCCAGCCTGGGCAACAGAGCAAGACTCTGTCTCAAAAAAACAAAAAAACGAATGGGGCTGGGCAAGGTGGCTCATGCCTGTAATCCCAGTTCTTTGAGAGGCTGAGGCAGGCAGATCGCCTGAGGTCAAGAGTTTGAGACCAGCCTGACCTGGTAAAACCCCATCTCTACTAAAAATATAAAACAATTAGCACTGCGTGGTGGCTCAGGCCTGCAGTCTCAGCTGCCTGAGAGGCTGAGGCGGGAGAATTGCTTGAACCTGGGAGGCGGAGGATACAATGAGCTGTGACCATCCCACTGCACTCCAGCCTGGGGGACAGAGCAAGACTCCATGTCAAAAAACAAACAAAAAACCCAAATCACTTGAAAGAGAAACATCAGTAGGTCACGCCCTCAGTTATGACCAAAAACGATTATGAACGGGTGAAAGACGACAGGAGTTTTGCCAACTGCCCTAGAGACTGTTCTGGAAGATTCCACAGCTGGCTGAGACTTTGGGAGCAGACATGCAGTGCGTTACCGATGCCCGCCTCTGCAGGGGTCGCTGGCCAAGACCCTCACTGCCCCCAGCCTGGCCCAGCCCCTCACCCATCCTCCCAGGCCTGGCAGGTCTGGCTTTCAGCGCCCCCGAGCCCCCACATCCCTAACCAGTGGCACTGGGACCGCGGTGACTGATGGACACAGTCAAACTGAGCTTCTGCTGTGACACAGGAGAAATGGCTCAGACCTGCCTGTTGCCGCCAGGGCTGGTGTCACCAGTGCTGGAGAAGCAGGTGCCACCCCTGGGTAAGGGAAGGGAGGGGACATGCTGCTGCTCATCAACTCACCCCCTCTGCTGCCCCTCACCCCCTCTGCTGCCGCGAGACCCAGCTCCCGTGTGACCCATGGAAGCCTCAGGGGGACAGCAGTGCTGGAGGATGGCTGCTGCTGCATTTCCTGCTCAGGCCTGAGTGTGGGCAGTGACCCAGGGAAGTGCTCGGGGGACAGTGGCTGGAAGGAAGGGCTGCGCCACACCTGGGTCCATGGAGGGATATGGTGACCTGCATCCTGGGCTCCTCGCAGGAGGAGATGACGATGTTGGCTTCAGGGTCAGAGGAGACCTCATACTCATCCTCGGTCACCATCTGGGAGGGGCAAACACAACACAAGGCCACCTTACTGCAGCCCCGGATCGTGTGAATCAGCCAGGACGCGGTTGGTGTGTACAAGTTACCCCTGTCAAGCCTCCCACACTTGCTGCCTGGGTGCCCGGCCCTGTGCCCCGTGTCTGCAACCTCCAAGTGAGCGAGACACAGCTGCAGCCCCCCAGTGTGGAGATACGTGCAGACAACAGACCCTGTGACGTAAGGAGCCTCCATATGTAAAGAGCACCTGCAATTCAGTAAGAGAAAGACCAGCAAGCCACCAAAAAACTGGCAACTGGCAGAAAAAGAAACACAACAGTCCTTTTTACACAACATCACACGTTACCCCGTGGTCAGGGAGGAGTGAATTAAAACTACAATGAGGTGCCCTCAGCTCCCGTGAGGACATAACTCAAGAGGTCTGTGCTGCAGTCTGGCCTTCCTGTCCACGGTCACCACTCTCCATGTGGCCTGTGCCCACCCCTGAGCCTGGCCTCCCACCTGAAACCCACCTCTCCTCATCCTCCATCCCTTCCCTTCTCAGGGCCTCCCTGCTGCAAAGCAGCCCCAGGAGCTCTGCTGACATCACGGGGTGGATGCTGCCAGCCTCCCACAGCCTTAGCCGGGGCTGTGTCTGAGCCACGTCATGTTGCAGGTGTGCAGGAAAAGATGCAACCCGTGAAGTCAGAGCATGTCGCTCCCCTGCTCAAAACCCTCTAGCCTCCCGACCTCTGAGAATGCAATCCTACCTCCGGGTATGGCCTTCAGGCCCGGCTTGATCCAGGCGCCCTCTCATCCCCTCACACCCACCCCTCCTCGCCCTGGGCCTCCTGCTTTGGGCTTTGCAGGTGCTGGTCCTTCTATGGGGAATAGTGTCTACCCAATCGGGCACTGCCCAGCCCCCAGGGACTGTGACAGACACTCAGGAAGAATGGACTACTCTGGGGACCGAGTTTTCATTTTTCTTTTTCTTTTTCTTGTTTTATTTTTTGAGACGAAGCCTCACTCTGTTGCCCAGGCTGGAGCGCAGTGGTGCGATCTTGGCTCGTTGCAACCTCCGCCTCCAGGGCTCAAACGATTCTCCTTCCTCAGCCTCCTGAGTGGCTGGGATTACAGGCGCCCGCCACCATGCCTGGCTAATTTTGGTATTTTTAGTAGAAACAGGGTTTTGCCATGTTGGCCAGGCTGGTCTTGAACTCCTGACTTCAGGTGATCCATCTGCCTCAGCCTCCCAAAGTGCTGGGATTACAGGCGTGAGCCACCTCGCCTGGCCTGCTTCTTGTATCTTAAAGTCGTGTTGTAACGAAGGTCCCCATTCCATCTAGGAGCTCAAGGGGCTGCGGGGAGAGGGCTAGCAGCGATGAGCGGGGTCCTGACCTCACCTGGAGCTGACGGGGCAGCTGCTGAGTGATCCTCCGCAGCAGGCTGTGCGTGGGCTTCATGGAGCAGAGCAGAGCGAGACACACATTCCTGTCCCCACGCAGGAGGAGGCCCTTCGCCAGGATGCCTACCCGCATGACTCCTTTGGACCCGAGCCTGGGGGGCCACGCTGCTGTGGGAACAAAGCCACAGATGTGTACCATCAGCGGAGAGGCACCGGGTGCCCCAGCTGCCTCGCTCCTGAGCTACGGGGACCCTGAAATTTGCAAAGCATCTCTACACCTCAGCATCCTCGTCTATGAAATGGGACCAGGCCACTCTGTCCAAGGTGCTTGCAGAATGAAATGGGACACTGTGAGATCTGTCTCGGAGGTGCTGCCACTGGGCAAGCCTCGGGGTAGCCAAGACAGTGGCCAAATCCACATTTTCCTTCCTCGTGAGCAAACGCCAAGCCCCAGGCACAGCCCGAGAGGTCTGAGGGCTGCAGCATTCATGCACTTTGTCACATTGTTGTTTCGGCTTCACGTGGGTTCCAGAAAAAAACAGAAAGCAAATGCTTCTTTGTGCCCTCGATTCAGTGGGATTAAAAAACTCAGGAACCCAGGATGGGCGCGGTGGCTCACACCTGTAATCCCAGCACTTTGGGAGGCCGAGGCGGGCGGATCACATGAGGTCAGGAGTTTGAGACCAGCCTGGCCAACTTGGGGAAACTCCATCTCTACTAACAATACAAAAATGGCTGCCTGTAATCTCAGCTACTTGGGAGGCTGAGACAGGAGAACTGCTTGAACCCGGGAGGCAGAGGTTGCGGTGAGCCAAGATCACGTCACTGAACTCCAGCCTGGGAGACAGGGTGAGACTCTGTCTCAAAATAATTATAACAACATAATAATAATTAAAATAAAAATTAGCTGGGTGTGGTGGTACCTGCCTGTAGTTCTGGTACTTGGAAGGCTGAGGCAGGAGAATCACTTGAACCCAGGAGGGGGCAGAGGTTGCTGAGCCGGAATCACACCACTGCACTCCAGGCTGGACGGCAGAGTGCGAATCAGCCTCAAAAAAAAAGCAGCAGGCAAGGTCCTGGTGCTGATTGTACTGGGACATTTTGCAATGCACAGTGTGAGGCTCACACTTCCTCTGTGGAGTCAGTACTCTCTACTCCAGCAGAAGGAAGCCCTCAGGCAGAGTGGAGGAGCTGGACATGAAAGGCCACATGGTGTGTGACCCCATTTCTATGAACTGTCTAACGCAGGCCAATCCACAGAGGCGGGGGCGGGGGGCACACGTGGGCGTTTGCTTCATCGAGACAGAGTTTCAGTTTGGGAAGATGAGACCGATCTAGGGATGGACGGGGTGACGGCGGCACACCGGTGTGAAGTTTCATGCCCCTGGACAGTGCACTTGGACATGGTGAAAATGCTAAGGATTGTGTTAGGTAGATTTTACCACAAAAGAAAAGCTTTCAGGCTGGGCACAGTGGCTCACACCTACAATCCCAGCACTTTGGGAGGCCAAGGTGGGCTGATCGCCTGCGGTCAGGAGTTCAAGACCAGCCTGACCAACATGGTGAAACCCCGTCTCTACTAAAAATACAAAAATTAGCTGGGCGTGGTGGCGCGTGCCTGTAATCCCAGCTTCTCAGGAGGCCGAGGCAGGAGAATCACTTGAACCCTGGAGAAGGAGGTTGTGGTGAGCTGAGGTAGAGCCACCACACTCCAGCCCGGGTGACAGAGCAAGACTCTGTCAAAAAAAAAAAAAAAGGAAAGCATTCAAAGAGGAAAGCGAACCTGTAACCTCCTGGCACTTTGGGAGGCTGAGATGGGAGGATCGCTTGAGCCCAGGAGCCCAGGAGTTCAAGACCAGCCTGGCCAACACAGCAAGATCCTATTTCTTTTACTTTTTTTTTCAGATGGCGTCTCTGTCTATCTCCCAGGCTGGAGTGCACTGGTGCGGTTTCAGCTCACTGCAGCCTCCGCCTCCCGTGTTCAGGCGATTCTCCTGCCTCAGCCTCCCGAGTAGCTGCGACTGTAGACAACGCGCCACCACACCTGGCTAATTTTTTTGTATTTTCAGTAGAGATGGGTTTCACCGTGTTAACCAGGATGGTCTCGATCTCCTGACCTCATGATCCGGCCACCTCAGCCTCCCAAAGTGCTGGGATTACAGGCGTGAGCCACCGCGCCCAGTTGTTAGACCCCCCATTTCTACAAAAAGTTAACAATTAGCTGGGTGTGGTGGAGGCCGCCTATAGTCCCAGCTACTCGGGGGGCTGAGGCGGGAGGATCGCTTACACATGGGGGTCTGAGGCTCAGTGAGCTCTGACCACACCGCTGCCTACTCCAGCCTGGGTAACAGATCCTGCTTCTAAAAAAAAAAAACAAAAAAAACCCCAGCACCTTCCAGAGCAGGAAGGACTTTGAAACAAGGGAACTCCCACTCGGATGACTTAACTCCGCGGCAATGACTTAGGAGACGCAGGGACTTTCTTGCTTCCTAAGAATCACAGGGGCATGGAGCTGATTCACACGGGCGCTCAGTGCCGTGAGCTACTGGTTACTCAGTCACTCCCCGAGGCAGAGACGCCCTTTCAGAACCACACTCGGCTTCCTTCTGCGGATGAGGAAACCGGGGTTTACAGAGACTGTCAATTCCGCATCAACTACGTTGCTGTTGGGTTTTTTTTTTTTTTTTGAGACAGTCTTGCTCTGTCGCCAGACACCAGGCTAGAGTGCAATGGCGCACTCTCCGCTCACTGCAACCTCCGCCTCCCGGGTTCAAGCCATTCTCCTGCCTCAGCCTCCCGAGTAGCTGGGACTACAGGCGCGCGCCACTATGCCCAGCTAATTTTTGTATTTTTAGTAGAGCGGGGGTTTCACCGTGTTGGCCAGGATGGTCTCGATCTCTTGACCTCGTGATCCGCCCGCCTCGGCCTCCCAAAGTGCTGGGACTACAGGCGTGAGCTACTATGCCCGGCCTTTTTTTTTTTTCACATGGAGTCTTGCACTGCCGCCCACACTGGAGTGCAGTGGCGCCATCTCGACTCACTGCAACTTCTGCCTCCCAGGTTCAAGCAATTCTCCTCCCTCTGACTCCAAGTAGCTGGGACTACAGGCGCACACCACCACGCCCGGCTGATTTTTTGTATTTTTAGTAGAGACGGGGTTTCACTATGTTGGCCAAGCTGGTCTTGAACGCCTGACCTGGTCATCCACCCACCTCGGCCTCCCAAAGTGCGGGGATTACAGGCGTGAGCCACCGCGCCCGACCCAAGAACTACGTTTTTAGATGTGCCTTCAATAGCAAAGGGAACGCTAAGGCATTAGAACAGCACGGATCACCGCTTCAACTCAGACTCGATCAGCGCCCAGAAGCTCCAGCTCTGAGATCTGGGAACTTCCCGCTCCAGGGGCTGGAAAGCTGCCTGGGCCACCGAGGGCTCCAGGCCCATCAGAGCTGGGGGTTCCTGCAGGGTCTCGTCTGGAGGAGCTGACCTCTGTCCTGCCTGAGAGCCGGGCCCTGGGGAAGGGGATCTCCAATCACCTGCACGCGCCGCCCTCTTCCTCTCGGTGCCCGGGTCCTCCTTGGCCAGCGTGTCGGACACCGGCTTGAGGGCCTGCTCGGCATGGGACACGGCCCTCTGCACGGCCAGGAGCTCCTGCTCCATGGGGTGGATTGCGGCATGCCTGCACGTGACTTGCTGGTCCCCACTGGACACCAGCCACTGCCTGGGCTGTGGGGAGAGGCTGAGCGCGTCAAGGGTGGGCTGTGGGGAGAGGCTGAGCGCGTCAAGGGTGGGCTGTGGGGAGAGGCTGAGCGCGTCAAGGGTGGGCTGTGGGGAGAGGCTGAGCGCATCAAGGGTGGGCTGTGGGGTCTCCTGGGGAGTGCTGGGCAGGTGCCCAGCTCGGTTACGAGGCAGCAGCGTGGCCAGGTGAGAATCCAGCGCACGGAGAGCCCCGGGGTGGGGAACGGGGAGGTGCCTTGGGCTGCCCCTGATGGCTACAGGAAGCTTGGATCTGAGCAGGGTGGGGGACTGAGGGGATCCCCACCTTTGGCCATATTCTTACATTTCCAGACCAGAGGCTTTTGAGTCAGCCTGGGAACCTGTTCCCCACAGCAAGGTTCCCACTTAGGCCGGGCGTGGTGGCTCACGCCTGTAATCCCAGCACTTAGGGAGGTCGAGGCGGGTGGATCACCTGAGGTCAGGAGTTCCAGACCAGCCTGGCCAACACGGTGAAACCCTGTCTCTACTAAAAATACAAAAAATAGCCGTGCATAATGGCGGGCACCCATAGTCCCAGCTACTAAGGAGGCTGAGGCATGAGAATCGCTTAAACCTGGGAAGCAGAGCTTGTAATGAGCTAAGATGGCACCACTACACCCCAGCCTGGGTGACAGAGCGAGACTCCATCTCAAAAAAAAAAAAAAAAAGGTTCCCATTGACCTGGGGTCTTGGGCAGGTGCATCTGAAAAGACACAGTGGTGGTCACAGAGGCAGGAGGCTCCCCAAGGGAGGTGACCACCGGGGCTCCAGGAAGCAGACAGGACCTGTGTGTCCCAGCGGTAGGGCCTGGGGTGCTAGGGCTCCCATCTATGGCGTGGGGGGGCGTGGGCCGTGGCAGCCCATCCCCTCAGTACTATGTGGGAGCCTGGGATGAGGCCGGGGCCTCCTAAGGAGGTGTCCACTGCCCCGGGGGGTGTGAGGTCACCCACATTTTTGCACAGAGGACAAACCCACCCCCCGTACCTACCAGGAATGGGGCACTGGCAGGTGGCCCCGGCCTGTCCTTGAGCAGAGGCTGGGCCCAGTCGGGCGACGTGTGGGGCAGCGCATGCGACTGCTCGTCCTGGAGCAGTGGCTCCTCCTCCAGCCGCCTGTGGGACAGAGACGGGACAGATGCAAAGTGCCAATCTAAGATTCTGGCCAGCAGCAGCCCTCAGCTGGGGTATGTCAGAGACGCAGGGGCCCTGTGCTCCCAGTAAGGAAGGCAGGGCCGAAGCTTTCACCGGGGCTCCACCACACTGCATGGGCGCCTGCTGTATGCACAGAAGACTGAGGCTGGGAAGGAAGGGGGCTCACAGGGTGCACAAAGACACGCCTTTAGACAAAAGAGGCCCAACCCAGGTGGCCGTGGCCCTCAGGAGGTCCTGGACCCCTTCCCAATGCAGATCGGCTGCTGCTGGACACACCAGAGTCAGATGTTCCATCAGAAATGCTCCTGGATAGACATGGGATTCCAGGGGTCAGGGGGACACAGGGAACATCAGGGGTCAGGGGACACAAGGACACCAGGGGTCAGGGGACACAGGGGACTCCAGGAGTTAGGGGCCATGGGTCACGGGACACACCAGGGGTCAGGGGACACAGGGAACACAAAGATCAGGGGACAAAGAGGATGCCAGGGGTCAGGGAGACACAGGGTGTCTGTGGAGGCCCTGGCGCCCACGTGTCTGGTCTGCTCTGGAACCCTCTCACGCTCCCATGCCAGGACGTGGCCACGGCCCGGGCACCCCACACTGCCAAAGAGCTCACACGGGGGAGCCCCGGGTCTGCAGCGGCAGGCTTCTGGTTTCGGAGGACCTGCCCTCGCTCTTCAGGCCCCCTTGCCAAGACCCGCAGCTGGGCACCTCCTCTCTGCATGCCAGTGCCGCAGCTCCTCCAGCCGCTCCTCCGCCAGGCGCCGCTGCTTCCTTATCCATTCTTCCAGGAGCCTCCGAGCCCAGCTGCTGAGCTCTGTGGCGATGGGAAGGTCGGGGTTCACTTCTGGAAGGAGAGGCCAGGCTGTGAGACAATTGCGTTAGACAGGGGTGCTGGGAGGCTCTCAGGGTGCAGGGAGAGGCCGGGAGACTAGAACCGTTGGGCTGAAATCTCCCAAAGTCTTTTTTTTGAGACAGAGTTTCCCAGTTGTTGCCCAGGCTGGAGTGCAATGGCGTGATCTCGGCTCACTGCAATCTCCATCTCCTGGGTTCAAGCGATTCTCCTGCCTCAGCCTCCTGCGTAGCTGGGACTACAGGCACGCGCCACCACGCCTGGCTAAGTTTTTTATTTTTAGTAGAGACGGGGTTTCACCATGCTGGCCAGGCTGGTGTTGAACTCCTGACCTCAGGTGACCCTCCTGCTCAACATCCCAAAGTGCGGGGATGCCAGGCATCAGCCAGCGCGCCCCGCCCAAGGTGCACTTTGAGACGTGAACGAAAACCAATCACCCCACCCTCTGAGTTCGTGGGATCGGCGGACCAGAGGCCTCCCCGCCAGCGCCCGCCTGGGCCAAGCCGCCCGGACGGGTGTCAGGGATCCCCCTGCTGGACACACCCTGTACTGCAGCCGGTGCCGCCGCCCTGTCACGTGCAGGTCCTTGGCGTTAAGGTCGTGGAAACTGCACTGGCACAGCTTGCAATGGAAGCGAAGCACTCGCCCTTCCTAGCTGCACACCTGAGGCACAAAACACAGCAGCACGTGCACCAGGCACGAGGCCAGGGGGATGGGAGCCACCTCCGCCTCCCAGGTTCAAGCAATTCTGCTGCCTCAGCCTCCCAAAGTGTTGGGACTACAGGCGTGAGCCACTGCGCCAGCCCTTATTTATTTATTTTTAGGGTCTTGCTCTGTCACCTGGGCTGGAGTGCAGTGGCGTGATCTCAGCTCACTGCAGCCTCAAACTCCTACAGGCGCGCACCACCATGGGAGGCGGGAGGACTGCTTGAGCCCGAAAGTTCAAGACCAGCCTGGTCAACGTAGCGAGACCGTGTTTCTATAAAAAAATAAAAAATTAGCTGGGAATGATGGCTCACGCCTGTAGTCCCAGCTGCTTGGGAGACTGAGGTGGGAGGACTGACGGAGCCCAGGAGGTAGAGGCTGCAGTGAGCTGTGATGGCGCCATGGCACTCCAGCCTGGGCGACAGAGCAAGACTGTCTCTTAAAAAAAAAAAAAAAAAAAAAAGAATCCCAGGCCTACCTCTTTGGAACGCGCAACAAGGTCAACCAGCTCAAGAAGGGTCTGAGCTGCCACTGGCCGGGAGCTTGGCCCCACTGTTCACCAGGCTGGCTTTGGTAGGTCCCAAGGTCCCCCAGGCCCAGGAAAGGGGCTGGACAGACAGGCCTGCAACCTCCCAGGGACTTTCCACTGCCTGGAGTCCTTTCCGCCTCCCAGAGAGGCAGCTCCTCAGGGACCCCTGCTGGCAATGCCTCGGCCTGTCTCTGGCCCTCACAGATCCCTATTCATTCATTTCCTGCTCATATCTGAAATCCGGCACCCAAAGTGTCAAGCAGGGCCGCAGGGGCAGCTCAGGAACGGGGCTGGTTCGTAAATGTCGCTGGGAGAACCCGGGTGAGGTCTCAAAGCCTGAGCCACGGGAAGGTCCTTCCCCGACGGGAGGTCAGGGCTGGTCAGCCTCCACCTAGCTCCTCCACATATTCCGGCGTCACCGGCTTCGCATCAGAGCAACCCTGGGGAGCTTCCTCCGAGTCTCCTCGGGTGGGTGCTCCGGGACCCTCTGATTTGGGTGGGGTTGGTTTCTCCCACTGGGGTTTGCAGGCTACTGCCTGCGGCTCAGGAGGCCCTGAGGGGAAAAACCATGACACTTGTAACCTGTTCCTTGAGAAGGTACTGAGGCAGCAGAACACCAGGCGGCGGGGGATGGAGAGCCACCTAAACCCCGGGCTCTGATATGGGGCGGGGGAATGGCCTGGGAGCAACCTCACCCTCCCTTTCGTGCCAGCATGTGACCCAGCCAAGAAAAGGCCGATTTCTTTCTTTCTTTCTTTTTTGAGACGGAGTCTTGCTCTGTCAGCCAGGCTGGAGTGCAATGGCGCGATCTCAGCTCACTGCAACCTCCGCCTCCCGGGTTCAAGCGATTCTCCTGCCTCAGCCTCCTGAGCAGCTGGGACTATAGGTGTGCACCACCACGCCCAGCTAATTTCTTGTATTTTTAGCAGAGACGGGGTTTCCCCATGCTGGCCTCGAAGTCCTGACCTCGTGACCCACCCACCTCGGCCTCCCAGAGTGCTGGGGTTACAGGGATGAGCCACCGCGCCCGGCCCAGGAGGCCAATTTCAATCTGTCGGCGGAGAAGGGCTGGTTTTAGGTCTTTGCTTGAGGAACCCCCGACAGCACAAAATCCACATCCCTTAGTTAACCGCTGATAAGTATCTAGGGGACCAAGGCTTGCACTTAACCTGCCCCCGCTGGGCAGAATGAGGGAGCCTCAGGGCAGACAAATGTCTCTGTTATCAGCATGACTCGATGGCTCCGTCTTCAAAATCATGTTGCTATTCGAGAATCAAGGCTGCTGAGGCTGAAAACAGAGCTTTCCCCAGGCCCGGCCCACGCACAGCACGGTGGTCCAGGGCGGAGACTGACACAGACAGCTCTAGTTCCACCTCCGCCGCCGCTTCTCCGTCTACTCGCTGGGGCTGGTGTCAACGGTGACTCCAATGAGCTGAGGGCCGGGCACAGTGGCTCACGCCTCACACCTGTAATCCCAGCGCTGTGGGAGGTCGAGGCGGGAGGATCGCTTAAGCCTAGGAGTTTCAGACCAGCCTGAGGGACCTAGCAAGACCCCATCTCTAATAAAAAAAAATACAAAAAGTAGTGGGGATGGTGGTGCGAACCTGCAGTCCCAGCTACTCAGGAGGCCGAGCTGGGAGGATCGCTTGAGCCCAGGAGGAGGAGGCTGCAGTGAGCTATGGCAGCACCTCTGTGCTCTAGACCCGGCGACAAAGACACACACACACCCAGGAAGAAGAGTTGTCGTGGAGGGAAAGCGAAGCCACACACACGTTTACTCCTAGTTACCGCGCGTCGGCTCAGACAGCTGGGGCTTTGCACGCGGGGCAGGCAGGGCCACGGGGAGGGCGCAAGGATGTCACCTTCACTTCCTGGTACTCACATAACTGCTTCTGAGCCCAGTTTGTTCACCGTGAGCCCCAGGGCGTGCAGGGGAGCACAGTGGAGGTGACAGTTCAGGGAACCCTCGGAGTCGGGGGGGGGGGGCTCCAGAGAACGCCAGCACCCAGCACCAGCCCAAATTCTACCAGAAGAGGCCGGGCGCGGTGGCTCACGCCTGTAATCCCAGCACTCTGGGAGGCCGAGGCGGTGGATCACCTGAGGTCAGGAGTTGGAGACCATCCTGGCCAACATGGAGAAACCCCGTCTCTACTAAAAACACAAAAATTAGCCCTGCGTGGTGGTGTGCTCCTGTAGTCCCAGCTACTTGGGAGGCTGAGGCAGGCGAACTGCTTGAACCCAGGAGGCAGAGGAGGTTGCAGTGAGTAGAGATGGCGCCACTGCACTCCAGCCTGGGCGACACAGCAGTGAGATGCCATCTCAAAAAGGAAAAACGACTCTATAGGAAGAAATGGCGTTACCATGTTACTGGTTCCGCCTGCTCCCTCTGAAAATGGTCTCAAAGGATCTCTAGGGTTGAGGGTGGTGTGGGCCAGTGGGAGGCCATCCTGCTCTGCCGCAGTGAGGGAGAGACTGCACCAGCCCCTCGCCCACACCCTGGGAAGACATGAAGCCTCCTTCGTGAAAACTGACTGGACGGTGACCGCTCATGAAACTCTCACTAGGCAGCCAGGGCGCCAGTGGGTACGTGAACACGTAGCAGACATGGCAGAGAATGCAGAGACACCTACCCTTGCATGGGGCCTTTGAGGCCACAGGTCTCCTGGCCAGCGCTGGCCTGCTCGGGGCACATGCGCCAGGGCAGGTGGGGGGCATGGCCTTGGCTTCAGCCCCGGGGGGACTCTCCGTGGCCTGGGCAGGCTCGAGGGTGGGAATGGGTTTCCCCAGTGTGGCGTGCAGCTTGTAGACCTGGAAGAGACAGAGCTGGACCCTGTGTGAGGGCCACCCCAAGGCCTGATGGCCTTTTCCAAGAGGTAGGAAGGGCCTCCATGGGAGTGCAGTGGGAGTAAGTATGGGTGGGCCAGTCCCGGGGACCCCATCTCCTCTCTGGCTCCTACTCTCTGGATCTCACCCCCTCCAGAAGGCCCTTCCCACATGCCTGTGACTCCTCTAGCGCTGTGACACCCTCGCCGGCTCACATGGGCTCTCTTCCCCCTCCTCCACCATGTGGGCTTCGAGGTGGGGATGTGTCTCTGCCTCCCAAGCCCCAGGCTAGAGCCCCTGACAGCCCGGGACTCAGCGTGTGTGTGTGGACTGTGTGTGTGCACACATCCCTGGATGCACACCCACGTTCTACACACACATGTGCACGTGATCACGTCTGTATTCTGGCCATGCCCCATTCTTGGCACCCCCAGGTGCAAGGCACAAAGGTTCCACATGCACAGGGTCACTGTGTGTGCGCTGGGGACCCTCTCAGTCACACTCACCGGCTCTGAGTCTCTGAGACACATTGCACAGAATTCCCCTGCACCAAACCTGCAGTGGGCTGCAGGGCCTCCCTGACCCCCAGGCCGAGCTCCAACCTGCAGGTCCGCCCCACCCAGCCCCTAGCTCTCCTGTCCCCCAGGCCAGTGAGTCTCCCTCCCATTTCTCCCACCAACTCCTTCCCTCCATGCCTCCCTGCCCATTCCTCTTTCCCCTGAGGGTTCACACAGGCCCTTAGCAGGCTGTCCTGAGCTGAGCCACAGAATGAGGCCCTGGATGAGCCTCTGGGCAGCTGGGGGAGATAAGCCAGGTCCCCAGCCAGGCCTCCCAGGGTGGTCCAGCCTGACAGCAGAGGCTGCAGCACAAGCCGGTTGTCCCCCTCCCTGCCCTCGGATGGGGACTCCATTCCTTCTTCCCCAGAACATGACATAACCCAGGCCTTTTTTCTTGAGATGGAGCTTTGCTCTGTCGCCCGGGCTGGAGTGCAGTGGCAAGATCTCAGCTCACTGCAACCTCCACCTCCCAGGTTCAAGCAATTCTCCCGGCTCAGCCTTCCCCGTAGCTGGGACTACAGGCGCACGCCCCCACGCCTGGCTAATTTTTGTATTTTTAGCGGAGACAGGGGTTTGCCATGTTGGCCAGGCTGGTCTCGGACTCCTGACCTCATGTGATCCGTCTGCCTCGGCCTCCCAAAGTGCCGGGATAACAAGCGTGAGCCATTGTGCCTGGCCTTACCCGGGCCTTTTTAAGGCCGTAGGGAAACTGATATTACAGCAGACAGTGTGGAAAGCAAGACCCCAAAGGGAACCGGGCGTGTGCTCTCACGGCAGTGGAAGCGCTGTCTGTGGCCGCGCCTGAATGCCAACGCTTTCTTGGAAGTGCAGGTGTGAGTGTCTTGGTCACTTCCTGCTTTTGTGCAATGAGCAGGAGCTGCTTTTACAAGTGGACAGGAGTCCAGGCGCGCGATCCCAGCACTCTGGGAGGCCGAGGCGGGCGGATCACTTGAGGTCAGGAGTTCGAGACCAGCCTGGCCAACATGGCGAAACCCCGTCTCTTCTAAAAATACAAAAGTTAGTCAGGCTTGCTGGCGGGCGCCTGTAGTCCCAGCTACTCAGGAGACTGAGGCAGGAGAATTGCTTGAACCCGGGAGGTGGAGGTTGCAGTGGGCTGAGATCGTGCCACTGCACTCCAGCCCGGCAGACAGAGTGAGGCTCCGTCTCAAAAAAGAATAGTAAAATGAAAAATAAAATAAAAGAGTATAACTGGGCCAGGTGCGGTGGCTCACGCCTGTGATCCCAACACTGGGAGGCCGAGGCAGGTGGATCACTTGAGCTCAAGAGTTTGAGACCAGCCTGGCTAACATGGCGAAACCCCGTCTCTACTAAAAACACAAAAATTATCCAGGCTTGGTGGCGGGCGCCTGTAATCTCAGCTACTGGGGAGGCTGAGGCAGGAGAATCGCTTGAACCCGAGAGGCTGACGTTGCAGTGAGCTGAGATGGTGCCACTGCACCCTAGCCCGGGAGACTGCGAGACTCAGTCTCTAAATAAACGAATGAACGAATGAATGAAATAACAGGAAAACAGTCTGGCTCCTCGGAGATGAGGATGCATGGGCCTGGGCAGCCGGCCCTGGGGCGCGCTCCACTTGGGGAGGCTTTTCTGAGCTCCCTCTTATCTCCCCAGGTGCCTCTCTGGGTCCCAAGTGCTGACCTTGGGCTTCCTCCCCAGGGGTGGGGGAGCCTGGGCCGGGGTGGCACGTACCTTCTGGTGCTTGGCTCCCCGGATGTGGGCCGCGTAGGCGTCCGCCCCAGTGCAGGACGTGTGGCACAGGTCACAGCAGAGCTGCGCCTGCACCCCCTGCAGGCTGCAGGCCTGTCTTCTGGGCCACCTTCTTCTTCCTGTGCTTCTGCCCTCCCAGATGCTCCCGGTAGGTCTGCAGCAAGGGGCGGCGAGAGGCGGCCTAAGAGGGGGTCTGCCCCTCCCCATGCAGCCCCCAGCTCAGCACAGGAACTCGGCGGGTAGCAGAGACCTGCTGTCCCCTTTCCTCCATTGCCTGGTGCAGGGAAGTTCAAGTGTCCCTTTACTTTTCTAATTATTAGTAGTAGTACTATTTTTTTTTTTTTTAGATGGAGTCTTGCTCTGTTGCCCAGGCTGGCGTGCAACGGCACGATCTCGGCTCGCTGCAACCTCCCGCTCCTGGGTTCAAGCGATTGTCCCACCTCAGCCTCCTGAGTAGCTGGGACTCGAGGCGCACGCCGCCACACCTGGGTAAGTTTTGTTTTGTTTTGTTTTTTGAGACAGAGTCTGGCTCTGTCGCCCAGGCTGGAGTACAATGCAGCGATCTCGGCTCACTGCAACCTCTGCCTCCCGTGTTCAAGCGGTTCTCTGCCTCAGCCTCCCGAGTAGCTGGGATTATAAGTACCCACAACCATGCCCGACTAATTTTTGTATTTTTAGTAGAGACGGGGTTTCACCATGTGGACCAGGATGATCTTGAACCACAGATCTCATGATCCACCCACCTCGGCTCCAGAAGTGCTGGGATTACAGGCATGAGCCACTGTGCCCGGCATAATTTTTGTATTTTTAGTAGAGGCGGGGTTTCACCATGTTGATCAAACTGGCCTTGAACTCCTGACTGCAAGCATCTGCCCCCTTCAGCCTCCCGAAGTGCTGGGATCACGGGGGCACACCACCACACCCTATCTTCTTACTATAGACTTCTCAAAATTTTTTTTTGAGAGAGGGTCTCGCTCTGTTACCCAGGTTGGAGTGCAGCGCAGTGATCTCAGCTCACTGCAACCTCAGGAGTTCGAGAACAGCCTGGCCAAGATGGTGAAACCCCATCTGTACTAAAAATATAAAAATTAGCCAGGCGTGGTATTGGGCGCCTGTAATCCCAGCTACTCAGGAGGCTGAGACCAAGAATTGCTTGAACCTGGGAGGCAGAGGCTGCAGTGAGCGGAGATGGTGCCACTGTACTCCAGCCTGGGCGAGAGAGCATGACTCTGTCTCAAAAAAAAAAAAAAATTAGCTGGGTATGGTGGCCTGCACCTGTAGTCCCAGCTACCTGGGAGGCCTCCTGGGTTCAAGCGATTCTCCTGCCTCAGCCTCCCCAGTAGCTGGGACTGCAGGTGCCCGCCACCGTGCCTGGCTAATTCAAGCGTTCCTTTATGAAGCCCACGTCAACAAACCCACAGGCTCAGACTGGTAGACCTAAGCCTTCTTCATTCTTCTGGAATTCCAGGAGTGCCTTAAGAAAGCATGCTCCATGCATCACACATTCCTGCTGTACACAGACAATTCTGGCTTTCAGAATTCAACCTTGGAAACCAAGCAAGGGCACCTGCTGCCCCAAGCACGGTCACGGACACTTCCTTCTCAGAAAACTGCTCACAGACAACCAGGCGCGGCGGCTCACGCCTGCAATCCCAGCGCTTTGGGAGGCTGAGACGGGCAGATCACGAGGTCAAGAGTTCGAGACCAGCTTGGCCAACATGGTAAAACCCTGCCTCTACTAAAAGTACAAAAAATAGCTGGGCATGGTGGTGGGCGCCTGTAATCCCAGCTACTCAGGAGGCTGAGGCGGGAGAATCGCTCGAACCCGGGAGGCGGAGGTTGCGGTGAGCCGAGATCATGCCACTGCACTCCAGCCTGGGCGACAGAGTGAGACTCCGTTTAAAAAAAAAAAAAAAGAAAGAAAAAGGAAAACAAAACTGTAATAGACACAGGGGCCCCACCTAGGGGAAGCTACTGTGAGTCACAGGCCTACGCAGCCGGTACTACGGGGCCCAAAATATCTGATTGTGTTTGGGGAAGCGACAGCCAAGGGATTCTTACGTAGAATCCCGGGTGTGCTTCTTAAAACCTTGAAACACAGCCGGCCACACACAAGACGTGGCAGGTGGGCCACGAAACCAACACGCCCTGACCATGCCTCAAAGGAATGTTCTGCAGACTGAAAAGTGCCCCTGGGGGCACACCGGGCACTGCCCTCGCCTGCAGGCTACCCGCTTAGTGCACTGCAACTCGGGGACGTGGTCAGGTTTCACAGAGGAAAACAGGAGGCGGGAGAGGGAAACGCACACGTTTTACTGTACGGCTGCTCCCTGGAGCTGAGGCATCTGTTTGTCTGAGACAGAGTCTCACTCTGTCTCCCAGGCTGGAGTGCAGCGGCGTGATCTCGGCTCACTGCAACCTCCGCCTTCTGGGTTCAAGCGATTCTCCTGCCTCTGCCTCCTGTGTAGCTGGGACTACAGACACCCGCCACCACGCCTGGCTACTTTTTGTATTTTTAGTAGACACAGGGTTTCCCTGTGTTGGCCAGGCTGGTGTCAAATTCCTGACCTCAGGTGATCCTCCGGCCTCAGACTCCCAAAGTGCTGGCCGCTGTGCCTGGCCTGGAACTTAGCAATCTTGAACCTCATAAATATACCACCGATGCAACAGTGTAAGAACACAGGCTTGTACGCACGTGCTGGCTCGGACCAAGGGAGGCTGCCTGTGGAGCAGAGGAGACTCTGGAAGAATACGCACCAAGATGCTGCCATGCATTCATTTCTGGGTGCTGGGATTATAGGTGGGTTTTTTTTTTTTTTGTAAGACAAAGGATCTCGCCCCGTCACCCAGGCTGGGGGGCAGTAGTGTGCTCATCGCTCACTGCAGCCTCCGACTCCGGGGCTCAAATGATCCTCCCACCTCAGCCTTCAAAGTGGCCAGGACTACAGGGGCACACCACCATGCCCAGCTAAGTTTTACATTTTTTTAGACACAGGGTTTCATCCATGTTGCCCAGGCTGGTCTTGACCTCCTAGGCTCAAGCGGTGACCACTGGCGGCAGCGTCCCGAGGAGCTGGGATTGCAGGCGTGAGCCAGCGTGCCCGGCCCGTAGGCTGTCCGTGCGCTTTCTGGGTATACGGCAGTAATCAGTCACGTGGCTTTCAACGCATCCTGGTCTGATTTCTGCCCTGGTCACTAAAACTCACTCCGATTTCCTCAAAGTACTGACCGTTTCTGAGCCTCCGGGATTTTATGTACCACACAGAGATGGTAGCCGCGGGGCAGCTATAAGGATTAGATAACCCACGTGGGTTGCGTGGGGGGACTGAGCTTGTCATCCTGGCACTATGGGAGGCAGAGGCCGGATGATCCCTTGAGCTTGGGAGTTTGAGAGCAGTCTGGGCAGTAAGACTCTGTATCTATAAAAAATGAAAAAAAACAGCCGGGCACGGTGGTGTGCACCTGTAATCCCAGCTACTCAGGAGGCTGGGGTGGGAGGATCGCTTGAGCCCAGGAGTTCAAGACCAGCCTGAACAACATAGCGAGACTCCACCTCTACCGAAAATAAAAAACAAATAGCTGGGCGTGGTGGTTTGCATCTGTCTCAGAGCTACCTGGGAGGCTGAGGTGGGAGGATCGCTTGAGCCCAGGAGGTGGAGGTTGCAGCGAGCTGTGATGGCACCACTCCACTCCAGCCTGGGCAACAGAGCGGGACCCTGTAAAGAATGCCAGGGTCTCTCCCAGCGTGAGATGCAGTGGAGAGCTGCTGGGAAGGTTCCGAGGCAGGGAGAGGGTGATCTGGGGCGGGAGAGTTCCCTGAGTGGGCTGGTCCCCAACCCAGCTGGGTCAGGGGCCCTGATACGGTGCCCTGAGCCTTCTCTCACCTCTCCAGAGTCTGCGATTGCCGACTCCGTGTCTCCACCATCAGGGCTTTCTTTCAGAGTATTAAAAACAATAGGAGATCAGGGTGTGTGTTTCGCAAAGACAGCGCTCTAGGGTTTAATTATCCTTCTAGGAAATGAGCCCACGATCTCAGCTGGGTGATTTGCACGTTTACAATCTCAAGCTCATGCATTTGGTAAGGAGTCCTTCATGTGTGCCCCAAACGATCACTGCCATACACAAGCACCGATCACACACATGCCCATGCGTACACTCATACATATGCATGCACACATACACACCTACACATGCATGCATACACATACACACATACAAACACACGTACACATACACACCTACACATGCATGCATACACATACACACATACAAACACGTACACATACACACCTACACATGCATGCATACACATACACACATACAAACACACGTACACATACACACCTACACATGCATGCACACACATACACACATACAAACACACGTACACATACACACCTACACATGCATGCATACACATACACACATACAAACACACATACACATATACACACACACATGCATGCACACACATGCAATATGCACATGTGTACACATATACGTATGTGCGTACATACACATGCATGTACACACATGCACGTGCATATACACATACAAATGCATGCGCACACGTGCACATGTGTACACACGTGCATGCACACCTGCACACACACTTATACACACATGCACTCTCACTTGCACACACATGCACACACGCATGCCTGTACAAAGTCACACATATAAACATACATATGCACTCTCACTTGTACACAAGTGCCTGCACACACATGAACACAATCACTTGCACACACATACACACATATGCACGTACACATATACACACATGCATACACACATACACATGCATGTACATACATACACATGCACGCAACATGTACGTGTGCATATACATATGCAGGCACATATACACATGCATGTACACGTGCACATGCATAAACATACATGCACACACGCATACCCCATGTACACACATATGCACACATGCACACACATATATGCACACGCATGCATACATATGCCTGCAGGCACGCACACATGTACACACATGCACGCACACACCACATATACATATGCACTCACTTGCACACCAGCACACATGCAAATACACACATGCACTCGCGCTTGTACACACATACACGATGCACACATGCATGCTTGCACAGAGGCACACTATAAACACATATGCACTCACTCGTACACGAGTGCTTGCACACACATGAACACACACATACGCACATGCATACACCATGCATGTTTAACACAAGACCTTCTTTAGCAGGTGGAGACCCTGACCCCCGGTGCCCACGTTCAGGTTCAGACATGGGAGACGGAGAGGTCTCCAGGCCCTGCCCAGGCGGTGGGGCAGCTGACCTGGGGGCCTGTGCAGCTGATCTTACGGATGTCGCAGTAGTGAAGCTGGGGCTGCCTGGGCCCTGCCTTGGGTGTCGGCAGCTTGCTGGGAAGTGGTGGCTTCGGGTCGGCTCTGGGGCTGCTTCCTGAGCCCGCGGGCGTGGGCAGCGGGGGCAGCTGCTGTGGGGTTCCTGGGGGAGACGCGGGCTGCGCTGGAGGATAGACAGGGCTGGCTGTGGAGTACACAGAGGTGTCACAGCGAGCAGAGAGAACAATGAGTGAAGAGGGGAGACGCTGATCCCCCCACCCGAGTTGATGCAAGGGCTGACAGGCAGGGAACACTGGTCTTACCCGTGTAGGGGGTGCAGGTGTGATCGTAGGAGGGCAGGGGGCAGGGGTCACGATGGACGCCGAGGCCTCGGGCTGGATGCCTGTCTCTGTGGGGTAGGTGTAGCCTGAGGACAAGGCGCTTGCTGGCTGCCCAGCCTCCACCGCGGGTGCCTGTCGTGGGGACTGAGTGTGGCTGTGACCGCGGTGGGGGCCGGACTGCCTGCAGGCCTCTTGGGTCCCTAGGGGACAGGCACAGGTCCTCTGCAGAGCCAACCCCCACCCCACTGTCCCCCACCTGCAGATGGACCCCGGGCGCAGCTGGATGGAACACGATAGATGCACAAGCCGGAGCCTTGGGCCAGGTCCCAGCAGCGACTGGCGGGTGACCTTGTGCCCACCTCTCCTTTCCAGAGTCCATCTTCTCCCTCCTGCTATCGGGGAGGAGGGCTGTGGGTGCCCTGGACAAGCTCCTACGTGTCTCCAGCTCCGACACCCACAGAGCTCACCTCCTGCCACCCCGGGAAAGCTGCCTTGAAACAAATGTTAGCTGCATTTTTGGTCCTCGCCCTCCCACGGTCAGGCCGCCACCTAGCAGAGCCCCGGGCATCTGAGCAGCCGGCCCTGATGCTCCCTGCAAACCTGCCACGGTGATGGCAGTGGGGATGCGCTCCTGGGGTTGGCTGTGGTAGGCGAAGTCCTGGCTAGAGTGGGGCTGCTGCCTGCTGTACCCCGCCAGGGCAGCTGGCGGAAAGGCGGGGTTTGCGGCTGGGCCCATGCCAGGACTGGGCTGTGCAGTATAACTGGCCCCCACGGTGGGCAGGGGAAGGGTCGGAGGCTGGGCGCTGGAACCACAAACACACACAAAAGCCCCATGGGGTTAGAGCGAGTTCTCAGGTGCACTGAGTTGACGGTGTCAATTCCAGCCGCCGCTGGACCTGAGCTGCCCTGCTTCCTAGAGACGCTCCAAGGAGCCCGGGCATGGTCGGAAGCACTTTCCACAAATTAACACCATCTCACAGCAACGCTGTACTAACGCTGGGACCATCATTGTACCCAGTTTACAGACGAGGAAACTGAGGCACTGTCAGTGGCAAAGGTGGGACTCAGACCCACCTGCGTTGTGCTTTGCAGATGATCTACTTGTGTGGCTGGGCTTCTTCTCCACATCAGGGTGTTTCAAAGAAAAGTAAGCTTCACAGTACAGTGTCCGGCCAGGTGTGGTGGCTCACACCTGTAATCCCAGCACCTTGGGAGGCTGAGGCGGGAGGATCACTTGAGTTCGTGAGTTCGAGACCAGCTTGGGTAATATAGTGAGACCTTGTCTCTACTAAAATTTTTAAAAAAGAAAAATGAGCGAGCGTGTTGGTGCACACCTGTAGTGCCGGCTGCTCCAGAGGCTGAGGTGGGAGGACGGCTTGAGCCCAGGAAGCAGAGGCTGCCGTGAGCTGTGATCTCACCACTGCACTCCAGCCTGGGCAACAGAGTAAGACTCTGTCTCAAAAGAGACAAAACAGAAAGCAGCGCAGCCGTCCCTCTGTCTGCAAGGGGTGATTCCAGGACCCTCAGATCCCCAAATCCGCAGAGGCTCAAGGCCCTGACAAACGGCACGGTGTCTGCACATAACGGAAATGTATCATCCCTCATACTGCAGGTCACCTCTGGATTACGTGTCCTGCCTAATACGATGTCAGCATGGGGTCAGTAGCTGTTACATTGCATTGTTTAGGGAATCATGAGAAGGAAAAAGTCCACACACATTCAGTACAGATGCATTCTTTCTCCAAATACTTTCCGTCTGCCCTTGGTGGACTCCATGGAAGCAGTGCCCATGAATATGGAGGGCCAACTGCATTTTCTCTTAAAAAACTTTTTTTTTGAGACAGAGTCTCACTCTGTCTCCCAGGCTGAGGGATACGATCACAGCTCACTGCAGCCTCAACTTCCTGAGCTGAAGCAATCCTCCTGCCTCAGCCTCTGAGTAGCTGGGAACACAAGTGTGCAACCATGCCCAGCTGATTTCAAAAAATAATTTGGCAGAGGTGGGGTCTCACTACGCTGCCCAGGCTCTGACTGTACTTCTATTAACACAACGAATCAGTCCACCTGATTATTAAGATAATTACTTTAGTTAGCACTAAAGCAAAAACTCTCCCCTAAAAAGAATGAACCTGTGTTGGGTTTGCACAGTGCTGAGGCCCTCGTCCACCTCCTCGTCACTCTTCAGAGGAGGTGTGGGACCGTCGCTAACCACGGTCTAGATGAGAAAACCTCCAAGGAGGGGGGGCTCACATCAAGTGCAGGGGCGGGTTCGGACCCAGATCTTTCTGACCCCAGCGCCCCTTGCTCGGCTAAGTATCAGCCACCCAGTAGACAGTTCTGGAGTCTAAAAGCCCATTTGGCCGGGCGTGGCTCACGCCTGTAATCCCAGCACTTTGGGAGGCCAAGGTGGGCAGATCACGAGGTCAATGGATCAAGACCATCCTGGCCAACATGGTGAAACCCTGTCTCTACTAAAAACACAAAAATTAGCCAGGCGTGGTGGCGCGCTCCTGTGATCCCAGCTACTCGGGAGGCTGAGGAGGAAGAGTCGCTTGACCCCAGGAGGCAGAGGTTGCAGTGAGTCGAGATTGTGCCTGGCAACAGAGCAAGACTCCATCTCGAAAGTAAATAAATAAATAAAAGCCCATTTCCCAGGGAGAAGTAGCAGTAAAGATTATAGCCCAACACCACTATGGATATACATTGAAAAGTGAAGCTCCTACCCCATAGGGAAGGAGCAAGTTGTGAGGGTCATTCTGGGGAAAGTGGATTAGAAGGCAGAGACTCCACACCACCCAGCCCCCAACTGGCCCTGCCGTAGGCGAGTCATCCGGAGGGTCAGGGCCAGGGACAAGGAGACATTCTTGGTGGCACAGGAAAATCTCGTGAGTTACATCTTTTTTATTTTCTGAGACAGAGCCTGACTCTGTCACCCAGGCTGGAATGCAGTGGCATGATCTTGGCTCACTACCACCTCTGTCTCCTGGGTTCAAGCATTCATTCCTCTGGAATTTTCACACACTTGTCCTGAGCCACAGGCTGCACACTCATGCTGTAGACACTCGACGGACACCGTGACTGTGACACACGGTGGACACTATGACTGTGATACTCGGTGGACACTATGACTGTGACACTCGGTGGACACTATGACTGTGATACTCGGTGGACACTATGACTGTGACACTCGGTGGACACTATGACTGTGATACTCGGTGGACACTATGACTGTGACACACGGTGGACACTATGACTGTGATACTCGACGGACACCGTGACTGTGACACTCGGTGGACACTATGACTGTGATACTCGACGGACACCGTGACTGTGACACTGGATAAACACTGTGTGACACTCAAACACTGTGTGACACCCAATGAACACTATGACTGTGACACTCGGTGAACACCGTGACTGTGACACTCGATGAAAACCATGACTGTGGACACTCAAACACCATGACTACAGACACCCAATGAACACTATGACCGTGACACTCGGTGAACACCGTGACTGTGACACTCGGTGAAAACCATGACTATGGACACTCAAACACCATGACTACAGACACCCAATGAACACTATGACCGTGACACTCGGTGAACACCGTGACTGTGACACTCGGTGAAAACCATGACTATGGACACTCAAACACCATGACTACAGACACCCAATGAACACTATGACTGTGACACTTGGTGAACACCGTGACTGTGACACTCGGTGAAAACCATGACTATGGACACTCAAACACCATGACTACAGACACCCAATGAACACTATGACTGCCAGAACTCCTGTCCCCACATCCCCATAAGTGGCTGTGAAAGAAACAGAACAAGAGACAGTGCTATCCAGGCTGCGCTGAGCACCGATGGATGGGCCAAAGTGAGCACGTGTGGAAGGTTCCATGCAGGAGCTGGGGCAGAGCAGAGCCTGGCCCCGGCTGCACACCCCTTGCTGCAGACCACCTAGCCCCTCCCCCTCCTCCCTCACCACCAGCATCTGTGTCCTCCTGGAAGCCAGAGAGGGGTCCTCTCAAAGTACAGCCCTAACCATGCCATCTCCTGCTCAAAGCCCTCCCCCCACCCCACCAACCCCTACCCCTTGTCGAGGGCTCCCCTCCCTGCTGCCTGCAGGTGGCTACTTCAGTGATACCCTGGACCAGCCTCCTGGAGCCCCTGTGGCCTGACACTTATCCCCCCATCTCCTGGTCCTGCTTTCATTTTCTACCTGGCACCGCCCAGGCTCCACTGTGCCTCTCTTCACCGGCCGTCTCCTCCCCAGCCCTGACACCCTGGAATGCAGGACAGCGCATGAGCCCAGCTGTCTCGGGGCTGTGGTGTGTGGCACGCAGCAGGGGCTCCGCTCACATTTAGGGAGGGAAGGTGCTTTGCTGAGGAGTCCATCAACCACCTCAGCCTGTTTCTCCAGATTCTCCTGAAGGACCAGAAATAGGGAGCTCTACAGAAGGATGGAAATGTCCCCTGGGACCACACACACACTCTGACCTGCACCATCGAAGGGTGATTTCATCTCTCCCAGGAAAAGCAGAAGTGCCCTACCCGTTATGAAGAAACATTTAGATTCCACACAAAGCCCATTGTGAGATTTGTGTTTCTCTTCTGGAAGTCTCAGAGACTTTACTGGCCAAAATGTTGATGAAGAACGGGGTCCAGGCTACATACGTGGCTCACACCTGTCATCCCAGTACTTTGGGAGGCCAAGGTAGGAGGATTACCCGAGGTCAGGAGTTCAAGACCAGCCTGGCCAACATGGTGAAACCTTGTCTCTACTAAAAATACAAAAATTAGCTCAGGGTGGTGCGGGCGGCTATAGTCCCAGCTACTTGGGAGGCTGAGGCACAAGAATTGCTTGAACCCGGGAGGCAGAGGCTGCAGTGAGCTGAGATTGTACCACTGCACTCCAGCCTGGGCGACAGAGAGGAACTCCATCTAAAAAAAAAGTAGCTCTCTTTATTTATTTGAGACAAAGTCTCGCTCTGTCACCTAGGCTGGAATGCAGTGGCACAATCTTGGCTCACTGCAACCTCTGCCTCCCGGGTTCAAGTGATTCCCCTATCTCAGCCTTCCAAGTAGCTGGGACTAGAGGCATGCGCCACCACACCCAGCTAGTTTTTGTATTTTTTAGTAGAAATGGGGTTTTACCATATTGGATAGGCTGTTCTCGAACTCCTGACCTGGTGATCCGCCTGCCTCGTCCTCCCAAAGTTCTGGGATTACAGACGTGAGCCACCACACCAGGCTGGAAAGTAAGTTTTAGGAAAACATGCTGGAATGGCTCATCTCGGCTCACTGCAACCTCCACCTCCGGGTTCAAGTGATTCTCCTGTCTTAGCCCCCCAAGTAGCTGGGATTTCAGGCCCTTGGCACCACACCTCGCTGATTTTTGTATGTTTAGTAGAGATGGGGTTTCCATCATGTTGGCCAGGCTGGTCTCAAACTGACCTCAAGTGATCCGCCCGCCTCAGCCTCCCAAAGTGCTGGGATTACAGGCCTGAGCCCCGGCGCCCAGCCCAGTGTTTGATATTTAAACCGCGTTTATGATGGAGACATATTTAATTTTTGCACACTTGTGGTTTAGTGGCACCTCGTGGTTGAATCCTTTAGATGAGTCTTTCTCCGCTGGGGTTCCAGCAAAGGAGGAGGCCTGGCGCCCTGAGGCATCCATTTGTAGAAGGAATTCCTCTCCCTCCCTGGAGTCTGGAACGGAGCTCTCTGTGGCCCCCTCCAGTGAGACTGTCTCTGCCATCTGCTTCTGTGCTCTGCGGTGTCCAGGCAGACCCCTCATTGGAAGAGGGGACTGCACGGC